GAAGTAGAAATAAGACTTCAGGTTCAAGATGTCAGACTACCTCCTGGGTTTATCTTCTGTCTCCCCAAGTTCAGGACATTTTACCCAACTAAATGAGAATTAAATGATGTTGTTTGTTTTAGACAGGGTCTTGTTCTGTCACTCAGGCTGTAGTGCAGTGGTGCTATCATAGCTCACTGCAGCCTCAACCTCCCTGGCTCAAGTGATCTTCCAACCTCATCCTCCTGAGTAGCTGGGACTGCAGACACCTGCCACCACACCCAGCTAATTTTTTTTTTTTGTAGAGAGGGGATTTCGTCATGCTTCTCAGGCTGCTCTTGAACTCTTGAGCTCAAGCAATCCACCTGTCTCAGCCTCTCAAAATGCTGCGATTACAGGTGAGCTACCGTGTCTGGGAATAATAAAATTATCTTTAAAAGCGTAATTCAAAATCTATAGAATGGAAGGGCCACGCTCCTGTCTTAGGGTCACTGCACTAGCTACCCCCCTGCCTAGAATAGTCTTCCTCAGCCACTCACACAGCAAAATCCCTCGCTTCCTCTGTCTTTACATGGATCTTGCTTTGCAGTGAAGGCACCCAAATGACTCTGTGCTCCTAATCTCCCTTGTCCTACCCCTTTTGTTTTTCTCCATGGGATTTGTCACTTACACTGTTTGATTTTTTTTTTTTTTTGAGATGGAGTCTCACACTGTTGCCCAGGCTGAAGTGCAATGGCACAATCTCAGCTCACTGCAACCTCTGCCTCCCAGGTCCATGTGATTCTCCTGCCTCAACCTCCTTAGTAGCTGGGATTATGGGCAAACACTACCACACCTGGCTAATTTTTTGTATTTTTAGTAGAGATGGGGTTTCACTATGTTGGCCTGACTGGTCTCAAACTTCTGACCTCGTGATCTGCCGGCCTCAGCTTTCCCTAAGTGCTGGGATTACAGTTGTGAGCCACCATGTCCAGCCTTTTTTTTTTTTTTTTTTTTTTAAGAGTTGGGGTCTTGCTGTCACTCAGGCTAGAGTATAGTAGTGTGAACATGGCTTACTGCAGTCTCAAACTTTCGGACTCAAGCAGTACTCTTGAGTAACTTGGACTACAAGCACAAGCCATCACACCTGGCTAGTTTTTTTTTTAAGAGATGGGGTCTTGCTATCCTGCCCAGGCTGGTCTTGAACTCTTGGCCTCAAGCCCTCAAAGCCACTGGGATTACAGGCATGAGCCACTGCACCCAGAAATTTATTTCTTTATTATGTTTTTGTTCTCCACTGTCTACTTTTCCCCAACAGAATTCTGTTTTGTTCACCAATGCATCTCAGATGCCTAGAGCAGTAAGCAGTACCTGGTACATAGTAGGAACCCGATAAATAATTGTGGAATGAGTAAATGAAATGCTGAACAAAATTTCAACATATTTGTAGAAGATAAAGGAGTAAGAAGAATAGTCATTGATGAAATAGGTGGAAGAGGCTGAAGGACAGCACCTAGGAGGGTAAACCCTTGGATTGAATAAGGCTCAGAAAATAACATTTCTTAAGAAGGACGTGAGAATCAAAAGAGAATTGAAAGGGAACCAGCTACTAGCTTCTTCCCTAACTGATTCACATATAATGCGATGGCCCTGAATCTCTTGCAATTGTGTTTTTTTTTGTTGTTGTTGTTGTTGTTGTTTTGTTTTGTTTTGTTTTTTGCCTTTTGGGGAGAGCATTGGCCATGATCACAGCTCACTGCATCCTTGAACTCCTGGGCTCAAGAGAATCTCCCACATCAACTTCCTGAGAGACTATAGATGTGCGCCACCACGTCTGGCTAATTTTTTTATTTTTAGTTTTTTGTAGAGACAGAGTCTCAGTTTGTTGTCCAGGCTGGTCTTGAACTCCTGGCTTCAAGTGATCCCTCCACCTCAGCTTCTAAAAGTGCTGGAATTACAAGCATGAGCCACTGTACTTGGTTTCAATCATGTCCCTGACCAGTATTGCCTAAAGATTATACTCCACACTTTGGGAGATTCAAGGATAATGGATACAGTATCTGTCTAGGATAGGTTGAAGCAGGATATTTTAAGGAAGACATTGCAAAAAGTTTCCTAGTAACCCTAGGAAAAACTTTTGTTAAATCTATTCACAGTATATTGCTTGGTTTGTAATGGACAACATTTATATAGTCTTAATGTAAACACTTCATTGATTTATCTAATGCCAGTTATATAACAATATAAGGGAGAGGGGCTGAGGAGTGGTGTAACAGAGTTAAATCTTCATCTGCCATAGCCAGAAAACCAGTCAGAATTTGATTTTTTTAAAAATCAAAAGCAATATTAATATACCATTTAGTATATAGAGGTAATAACTAGAAAGAACAGCTAAGTTAAAAATGTTTGCCCCTGACTGGAACTACTGAAGGTGTGTGGGACAGAGGGCCATGGGATTATTGTTTTATAATGCAATGTTTAGGAAATTTAAAGTATCTAAAGTTTGTCTAGTTGATAGCCTTCTGAACAGGTGAAAAATTCTGACAAGAAAAATAGCAGAGCCGTGGCCTGACTTTGGTGGAGATGCTGATAGAGGAGATACAGCAAACATTATTCAGAGACGTTTGGTCACATATGCTCCAGAGCTGAACTGCCAGTTGATTGGAGAATCTGCAAATAACTGAAATTGTTTGCTTCGATGACCCTAGTCAGCCTGCTCAAGGGCAGCTGCTCAAACTGACCTGTCTTCTAGCTGTCAGCTTCTTTTAGCTTACTTTATCCCCCAAAATAAAACATCAGTCTACCAAAAAATACATCTATGTATATGTATGTATATGTACATGTGTGTTTGTATATGTGTATGTGTATATGTATGACTCACCCCACACAGTCAAATATTCTTTCCTCTTTCCCTCATCTCTTTCCATCATTTCATCTCCTACTGATACTTTCATTGGTTCTTTGAATGGGGTCCTGTGTGGGATCCTTCACTGAAGCTTCCTTGATTCAGGCAGCACATCCCAGTGCTCCACAGTCTGCCCCCCTTACCCCTGTCTTGTTCTAGCAGTCCACACCCAGGGGTCTTCTCACCCTCCCAAGGGCACTCTGGAAAGAACTTAAAATGGTTCAGGACTGGCTGTTTCTCCCAGGTGGGTTATATCTGATCCATAAGAAACCCTCACACATCCTTTCCCATAGTCTGGGACGGCAGCTTGATCCCAGTGCAGCCACAGGTCACTTCAACCTTCTTAGGCATGAGGCGGGCCCCTGTGTTCTGTGTCCTCTGATTCTAAGGAAGGCACCTCACTAAGTTTGAGGTGATGAAGTAAACAACTCACTTGAGGAGGGCACACAGCACCTCATCAGTTCTCACCAAAGAGATCTCTTCACAAATCCTGGCCCTCTACACACTCTTCCTCATTCCTATGCCTTAGATCTGGGCAAAGGATCCAAGATTATAATTGATTCTCAGCTATTTCCTTCGTAAATCTGTATATCCACTGCCTCACTTTGGATTGCAGCATTCATTGTATCTTGGTGCTTTGGCACAAATTTCAATTTCAATAGGTTACACACATACCACTTTTGTGATAATATTTCCAATTTTGGAAAACTACAACACACAAGGGAGAATTTAATAAATCCTAGTAATAGAACTAGACTTAAGTAGGTGTACACTCCCCTGACATCTTCCCTGCCCCAGTGGGGGTGAGACTGTTGCTGAAGTCTTGTCCTCTTTGTACTCAAGCTCTTGGAGGACTAGAAATCTTCAGAGTCTAGTTCCTAAGGCTCTGAACCTACAGCCTGATTCCTCTTTTCCAAAAAGAGACTGACAAATGTTAGTGTGGTTTCAACAACATGCTCATCCCACTGTGCAAAGCTGCAACTTTCTCACCCTCTGATTTCTATGTAATGCTGTGTCTATGAACTGCCTATCTTCTGGTAAGTATTACCTAAAATTCCAACCCCACCTTTAGGGGAGCTTCAGGTATAATGAGCAGAGGATGAGCTCAGGAATTAGACTGATGGCAGATTGAATACAGGCTGCCACTTGTTCTATGGTATTGGTTAAGCTTCCAGAACCACAATTTAAAAAATCTATACAATGAAAATAACCCTCATCAACCTTAAAGGGTTGATATGAGGATCCAGTGAGAATGCACGTGAAATAAAGAACGAGTGAGGAAAAAGTTTATTTTGCACCTGCTATGTGCTAGGCAGTTTAGATACATTTGTTCCTGATTTTTAATATCCTTATAATATAGGAGTCCTCTACTTGTAACCTCTGCTTTCCCAACCAGATTTAGCCATAATCACCAAGGTCCTCTGACTATGGTAGGCAGCCCATTAGAAGCTCCCTGGCCACCATGAATGGGGGCTAGAATTGGTGTTGCAGCTCTATGTCTGATGCCCACCATGCCTGCAGTGACTGAGTCTTTGGGTACTTACATCCCTTGAATCCTCTGCTGTGTTTTCTCAGATCACGTGGCTGGTTGGTGTTACTGGTTTGTAACCTTTTTTACATTTGCTTCTCAGATGATCTTGAATTTCTGCCCTGAAACCAAGTTCTCTTTTCTGGAGCCCTGACCTGCTTAGCCATGGCTAATTCTCTCACACTCATATTCTTTTCCCACTGGAACCTGTTTCAAACTAGACTAACAAAGCAACAATATTCTTATCTACCAAGAAACATGTCACCATGTCAGATTGTACCCCCCCCAGGCCCTTTGGATTTCATCCATTAATGTGAATTAAGTGGGATATTTTCTTTTGAGCTCTGGTCACACCCTGTTTTGCCAGAGCCCCTATCCCCAAACCCTCCCTGACAGTCTCATAGTGAGATTGGTTCTGCTAGACTCGATACAGGTACATTCCCATACTCTTCTCTTCCCCATTGGCCTAGGCTGCTAAAGTCTCATCATTCTTTGTGCCCAAGCCCCAAAGGGTCTTGGAACCCTCAAGGTCCACACGTACTCCCTCTAGATCTTAGTCTCTAGATTTCACAAGAACAGTTAGGATAATATTAAAATGAAATAGGTTACTTTGAAATCCATGAGACTTAGCCATCTTTTTAACAGCATCCATGTCTAAGGTGTTGAGCCGAATATTCACTGTAAGGTGGTGATAGGGAATGAAGTCCCTGCTTCGGCAGTGGTCACATCTGTGGGCATTTTCTTCTAAAAAGCGGGCACATTTCAAATGCATGGCTTTTCTCTGGTCCTTGAGCCACAGCTCGTAGGCTGTTTTCTGCATGATAGGGCTACAGAATCGGAGGATGTGGCACTCAATCACTTCGCTCTGCAGTTCACGAAGCTCTTCCTCTTCCTCGTGATCTAGAGAGAGCAGTGGCCAACAGATCAGCCAGGCAGGGGCCTACAGATCAGCCCCTTCTACCTAATATAGGTCAATTCTTTGACCTAGGTGGGTCTTAAGAGGAAATTAGGTCACTCCAGGTGCTACTCACCCATCCCTTCACTGGGCCTCAGAGACAAGGAGCGATAATGCACCTCAAATGAGGCCTCGTTCTGTTTCAGAGCTGTTTGAAGCTCTTTGCCAGTCCGGAAACAATAAAAAATGTTAGATTCTACTAGGGTTGCCAGGGCCTTGATCATCATCTTCATATTCCAACAGGGGAGAATCTCAAACAACAGCTCAGTAGTGAAGGTCACGCCAATGATGGCAGCACATCTCACCAGCATTTGGTGGGAAAGGCTCATGCTATCCAGCTGGACCAGAGAGATTTCTGCAGGTAGAAGGCCACACAGTAGAGAACTAGTTATTTGTCTTTATCAAATACAAGAGGAGGTGGACAACCATCCTGTTCTACAGTTCTGTTGAAAGAAACTCAGACAAGCTAAGTCAAAAGAAGTATTTGTTTAGCACCTAATTTGTGGATAGCACTTGTACTGGGAGCACTGAAGATGCAGGCATATGGCCTGGAAAGACACATGGCATGATGACCTGACAAAATTAAGATCGATTACATGGTGTTCTGATTTAGTGCTAAAGTGTGGCAAGCACGTTTGAGGAGAGGAGAGGACATTGTAATCACTGTTTTCAGAAGGAGCAGGGCCTGCCATTCCTGTGCCTTCCTCCACTGATGCTTCTATCTTCTTCTCTGGCTCCTCTTTCTCCTAGAAACTCCTAGCTTCTATCTTCCCTAAAAATTTTTGTATTCTCATGACATACGTTATCATCTCTGAGTCATAACCGAGTGTCAGAGTTCCCAGCTCCTATCCCAACTTTTCATCTAAGCTTGAGTATCATAGCTCATGTGGCTTCCTGGACATTTTGACCAGGATATCCTTCTGTTAGGGACAAAATTGGAACTTTTCAACTTCTCCAAAGAACGAAGTAGAAGCCTAAGCTAGTCCACCTCCTTCCTTCCTTCCTTTTTTCTGTCTTTCCGTTTTTTTGTTTTGTTTTGTTTTGTTTTGTTTGTTTTTTGTTTTTTTTTTTTGACGATGTTTCACTCTTGTTGCCCAGGCTGGAGTGCAATGGTGCAATCTTGGCCCACTGCAACCTCCGCCTCCCAGATTCAAGTGATTCTCTTGCCTTAGCCTCCTGAGTTGCTGGGATTACAGACACTCTCCACCATGCCCATCTAATTTTTTGTATTTTTTGGGGAGACGGGGTTTCACCATGTTGGCCAGGCTGGTCTCGAACTCCTGACCTCAGGTGATCCACCTGCCTCGGCCTCCCAAAGTGCTGGGATTACAGGTGTGAGCCACCACCTTCTTATATTAGTAGACACAGTGAACAAAACATAAATGCCACTCTTTTAAAGATTGAGGACCTTGAGATGTCCCTAGGCCATCTTTCTAAACATTTAAAGTCACTTATGGATGGCAGGAATTAGAGTTGAGTTCATACTAAAACATTCCTTGAAAATCATTTTTCTTTAAAAGAATAATAATACATCTTTCATATAAAACTCTTGTCATTTCTTTCTCATAAAAATGGATGGCAGGAAATATCTCAGTATTATATTTTCCTCCCTCATTATTTGGTTTCTGTTGAATTGAAAATGTACAATACTTCATTCTTTTATGCAGATCCCAGAATCTGGGGGAGAGATGGCTCTTAACTAGAAGAAAAGCCAAGCCTACCCTGAAGCCTTCTCACTGCTTCAGGCAGTACAGAGCAAACAGACAAATAACCTATGTTGCTGTTTTTCTTTTTCCTTTTAAAAACAGACATTCTAGAGAAAGCCAAAGTGGAGTTTACGAACTAGAAAATAAATAGCAGGTCAGATTTCCTTACCTTTTAATGACTCTGGGGGTGACATGTTTTTCAATCTGACCCCACTTGCAAGGTGACAGACTTCTTCACAGTTCCTATTACTATGGGAAGTAAACATTTTTAACTTCTCTGTGGGCTTAATGAAAGTGTCTCCTGGGGTACAAAAGGGAAGAAAAATTGAGTCATTATTCTGTCTTACAAGGTCTGATTTTCTAATGAACTTTGAGACAGATCTCATGTGAGGAAGCGTGGGCAGAGATGTATACTGGCTCATCAAATATTCTAGAAACGTTGGGTTTTTACATTTTTATTTATTTTTTTGAGATGGAGTCTCTGTTGCCCAGGCTGGAGTGCAGTGGTGCAATCTTGGTTCACTGCAACCTCCACCTCCCAGTTCCAAGTGATTCTCCTGCCTTAGCCTCCCGAGTAGCTGGGATTACAGGTGCCCACCACTATGCCTAGCTAATTTTTGTAGATACAGGTTTCACCATGTTGGCCAGGCTGGTCTTGAACTCCTGACCTCAAGTGAACTGCCTCCTTCGGCCTCCTAAAGTTCTGGGATTACAGGTGTGAGCCACACCGCACCGGGCCCCTGGAAACCCTGTTTTAAGTAAAACTGATTTATGAAAATTTAGATGTACTCAAAAATGCTTTGTCTCCCTCTGCTAACCCTGCCCAACCTAAATAATTGGCACTAACTATTGATGTCTTCCATAGGATATAAGGTTTTACAAACATTTGATTCACAGATTATCAGAACATATTACAGTATACAGTAACATATATTTGTATGTATAGATTTACATACCCACACTCAGATACGAACACATTCTGTGGGGCACTGTACTCTAATTAAGACATGGCTGCTATCAGAAAGATATTTTAAATGGTGAAGTTTGAATAGTAAATGTGCCTAGTAATTTGGTTTCCTGGTACTCCAAAATGCATGATTTTTCTCTTCCATCAGCCATTCATGTCCTTGGTAGCTGCAAGACTGTGCTAGGTGAAGTGGAAATAGGAAGGTGAATAACACCAAGTTTCTTATTTCCTGGAGCTCTTCGTCATGTACACAAAGAGCTAGACTGCCAGGCAGTAAATGAGTGCCATGTGACTGGACACAAACAGTAAGCATCAGAGATTTCAACTCAATACAGGATGTATTTATTAAGGACTTTCTGTGCATCATATCCAGTGAAGGCTATAAACATGAATAACACATGCTTCCAGCCCTCAAGAGGCTTAAAAATCTATGGAGACTGATATATAAGTAACTAATCATAACACCAGGATGAGTTACTTAAGAACCGAAAAGCAAAGAGTAACATGTTGAGGGAACAGAAAATAACAATTAAATCAGACGTGGTGGATTCAGAAAGGCTTGACAGAGGAGGTAGTATTTTGATTGATCTTTGAAGGATGAAGAGATATTCTAAGAGGAAAGTGGTGGAGAGGCCAACACAAAGGCACAGGAGCCTCAGAGTACTTAGCAAGTTAGGGGAATGGAGTGGCCCAACGTGGCTAAAGTGCTATGTGTTCGGGGAGTTAGTTTGGGAACAGAGCATGGAGGGCATTAAACCCCATACTATGAAGACTGGACTTTATAGATAACAGGGAAAGATCACAGATTTCCAAACAGGAGATAGTAGTAATCCAACCAGCCATATTTAGGAAGGTAGCACTGGAAGCAGCGTATGGGAAAGGCCAGAGACTAGGACAGGGAAGACTATGTATGTAAGGAGCTATGACAATGGAATGTCAAGAAGTGAGGATGGATAGAACCAGGTAAGTGGTTCAGCAAGGAGAAAGCAAGTACTAAAGATATGGAGGAAACGAGGCCTAAACAAGACAGTGATAGAAGTGACAGAGACATGGAGTACAGAGGGAGGGGTGGTTGAGAAGGGAGGATAATGCATGAAGTTTTAGATGTATTAAGTGCAAGGGAATCTGTGGAATAGTTCAATGGGCAATTGGAAATATGAGTGTGGAATTAAGGGTGAGGTTAGGGTTGGAGAAACACACACACACACACACACACACACACACACACACACACACACAGGCTGAGAAATGATGAGTAAATGAAAACAACTGGGGAAATAGTTGTTTCTAATTCTAGAAAGCTAGCAAAAGGAGAGGGTTAAGGATAGAACTTGAAGAATGTCCTCCCAGGAGGAGTAGACCCAGGAAGAGAGCCAAGGAACATCTGAGGACTGGTCAGAGAGGTGAGAGAGGAGAATGGGAGGAATATGGGGTCCGGGAAGCCAAGGTAGGGTAGCATACCAAAAAAGGGGTTGTGTGTGTGCATGTGTGTGTGTGTGTGTGTGTTGGGAATAGGAGGGTGGGGCTCAAAGGTACAATGTGGTCCATGCTCTCTTATGCTTATTTCTCCTTCCAGGACCTAGCACTGACACAATTATTCTTTCCATCACTCAACCAGTATTGACTGAGTGCCTCTAGGTATTAGGACTCTTCCTAGGACTGGGGATTCAGGAGAGCACAAGACTCCTTGCCTCACAGAGCTCCCATTCTAATGGGAGACAAACATTAAACAATAAATAAATAAATAGGATAATCTCATAATGTAATTCAATTGTGTGAAAGAAATAAAAGTGTGATAGACAACAGTGTACTCTTCACTCAGATTCACCTGTTGTCAGCCTTTGCCCCATTTGCTATAGCCTTGATCCTCTACTTTCTATCTTGTATTCTTACCCCATTCTCTGGCCCCCACCCTTCTCCCTGCACTAAAATTATTTTCCTAAAAATTCCAAATGGTCTCCTTCATGCCATTACTTCATATTTCATTCCTGTGTACATTTCTATAGCATGGGATCTTTGTTGATAACTTACTTTGTAGTAGAAATTTTACCTCTAGCAAGAAAGGAAAGGTTTTTTTGAAGATAATAATGAAGCTGGCCTTCAGTTCTGGACCTTAATATTTGTCAATGTTCTGTCATTTCTACTATAGTTACATATTTTGTTTTTGCGATTGAGTCTCACTCTGTTGCCCAGGCTGGAGTGCAGTGGCACCATCTTGGCTCACTTCAACCTCCGCCTCTTGGGCTCAAGTGATTCTCCTGCGTCAGCCTCTGAAGTAGCTGGGATTACAGGTGCCCACCACCACACCTGGCTAATTTTTGTATTTTTAGTACAGACAAGTTTCACCATGTTGGCCAGGCTAGTCTTGAACTTCTGATCTCAAGTGATCCGCCTGCCTTGGCCTCCCAATGTGCTGAGATTCAGGCATGTGCTGCTATGCCTGACCATACTTATGCATTCTTTAGCCCAGTCCAGTGAGTCCCAGGCAATGCTAAGTTCTCTTAAAATCTGGTATATCAGATCCAATAATTCTTGGTTCCCCAGAGCCCTCTGACTCTACAGGAAGCAGCCTATGGAATAGCCCTTTCTTCCTACCTTCTCTGAATGAAGACTTAAGCCATGCAGAACAGAGTAAAAAAGAACCATTGACACAGGACTTACCAAACAGGCTATTCCAGGTCATATTTGTCTTTTCCTCAGACTCCATTTGTTGGAAAATGAGTACATTGTGATGTTCAAGGCTTTTAAGCAATTCTTCACAGTAAAATGGAATCCCACCACTTTTCTCCACCAGGTACCTGTAGTGAAAACAAGGCAATCTGTTTACATTGAAGATACATCTTTTAGGAAGGAAAAACATTTGAGTCTTCTCAATCACTTGAAAATAATTTCTTCTCATTCTTTGTTTGTTTCTGTTTGTTTTCCATTTTGAGGCATTGCTTTTTATTTCACTTATGTGTGAACGCATTAAGTGTACATACACTTTATATTTTTTAAAAGAGACATTGGAAGGATAAGCCAAAAATCCAAATGGTTACTTATAGGATAAGGGAGGGAAACAAGACTAAGGATGTACCTTTTTGGCTTTGGAAAGATATATGCGTTTTATATAATTTAAACAGAGAGAGACCAGGCACGGTGGCTCATGCCTGTAATCCTAGCACTTTGGGAGGCCGAGGTGGGCGGATCATGAGGTCAGGAAATCGAGACCATCCTGGCTAACACGGTAAAACCCCGTCTCTACTAAAAATACAAAAAGGCAGGAGAATCACTTGAACCTGGGAGGAGGAGGTTGCAGTGAGCCAAGATCCCACCACTGCACTCCAGTGACGGAGCAAGACTCTGTCTCAAAAAAAAAAAAAAAAAAAAAAAAGGCCAAATTGTGCCTGGAGTTATCTTAAATGAGCCTTTGTCCAAGACACCTTTCTTCCAGAAGCAACAACCTCATTGCAGATACTAAGATGAGCTGTAAACAGCCAGCTAAAGAAGAAACACTGTCTATGTTGTTAAGGTGACTGCTGTCAAGACCCCAGGAGAGGAATCACTGAAAAGCTCAGAGACAACTCACCAGTGAATCAGCTTTCCACATCTGCCAGAGAACACCAATACCAGACCACACCATTGTCAGCCAGATAAGACCTTGCTTAGTTGCAGGTTGTGGTCTTTAAGGCTTACCAGTTTGCCTTTCCTGTCACTTGCCCATGACAATGCTCTTAGTCACTGTATGTTCAAGCGAGTATACCCAGAGCCCCCAGGATGAAAGTGAAATAAACCCACTAAGCAGAGTTTGAGAAGGCATAACAGGGAGACAACATGGAAAAGGTGAGCAACATCTATCCTATCAAGCATTATGAATGGCCCATTCAAAAGGAGGACCAGGCCAAACATAGTGGCTCATGCCTGTAATCTCAGCATCTTGGGAGGCTGAGAAAAGGATTGCTTGAGTCCAGGAATTCAAGACCAGCCTGGGCAGCACTGCGAGACCCCATTTCTACAGAAATCAAAAAGTTACCAGGGGTGCACACCTGTAGTCCTAGCTACTTGGAAAGCTGAGAGAGGAGGATGGCTTGAGCCCAGGAGGTTGAGGCTACAGTGAGCCATGATGGCACCACCACATTCCAGCCTAGGTGACAAAGCGACACCCTGTCTCAAAAGAAAAAAAGAAAAGATAATTTTTATAAAAGATGGGGCTGGCCAGGCACAGTGGCCCACACCTGTAATCCCAGCACTTTGGGAGGCTGAGGCATCAGATCACCTGAGGTCAGGAGTTCGAGACCAGCCTGACCAACATGGAGAAACCCCATCTCTACTAAAAATACAAAATTAACTGGGTATGGTGACACATGTGTGTAATTCCAACTACTTGGGATGCTGAGGCAGGAGACACTTGAACCTGGGCGAAAGAGGATTGAACCATCATACTCCAGCCTTGGAAACAGAGTGAGACTTTTTTCTCAAAAAAACAAAAACAAAAACAAATGGTGGGGCCAGAAAAGATACTGAAATACACACTTCAAGACACACACTAAGAAATCTGATGAAGTCTGGACCCAGGGAATGAATGCACATGTCAAGAGTTCAGAATAGAAAGAGGTTACTTACGAGTCCAGTTCGTTGGGGATGCTGCTTACATTGAGGTAAAGACAGACCTTGGTGCAGATGTCATCAGGCTGTATTGGACCAATGGTGATGTAGGTGGTGTTCCTGTTCTTCATTATGGCAGTGGCAGCTGCACAGGGAATTTCAACAAAGGGACACAGGGACATAATGATGAAGATAGGAACAGTCCGGATAAGCTTCTCCATAAATGCCCAGGAGGTCGGATCCACATATTGGGCCTCATCAATGATAAAAATAATCCTTTCCTCTTTCACTGTCTGGACAGGATAGAGAAATAGAAACACTATAGGATGTCAGGTTTTTTTTTTTTACATGTGTACGGGTATGCGTATGTATCCATTGAGTTTTGTGGTTTGCTTATGATGCAGTGAAAACACTAGCTAAGTTCAATCTTTTTTTTTTTTTTTTTTTTTGAGACGGAGTTTCGCTCTTGTTACCCAGGCTGGAGTGCAGTGGCACGATCTCGGCTCACCGCAACCTCCGCCTCCTGGGTTCAGGCAATTCTCCTGCCTCAGCCTCCTAAGTAGCTGGGATTATAGGCACATGCCACCATGCCCAGCTAATTTTTTGTATTTTTAGTAGAGACGGGGTTTCACCATGTTGACCAGGTTGGTCTCGATCTCTCGACCTTGTGATCCACCCGCCTCGGCCTCCCAAAGTGCTGGGATTACAGGCTTGAGCCACCGCGCCCGGCTAGTTCAATCTTTACTTTCCGGTAACTTTGCATTAATTTATATTCCATTAACTTAGAATTTGTGGCTATTTGGACAGAGCTGGCTGGAATGGACTGTTACTTGGTCAAAACTTTGTGTAAAGATAGTGCAGATTTGTAGGATAGATGGGATTTTAGGGGTACTCGCAAAAGCCAACTGAAAGTGCCCATTACATAAAAAGAACTGATTTGTTAATCACGAGTCATTTAAATCTATTGAACAATGAAGTTCTCCTGGGGAAATCTACTTGACATTTATTCACCCAACATGTATTCAACACATGCTTACTGACCACCCCTACTGGGCTAGGTGCTAAATGAAACTAGTCCTCACCCTGTGGGCAGCTGATGCTATTCTAGTTTGAACTGTAGTATGTGTTACACTTAAAACACAGATCATGTGTCCTTTTCTCATATACACTACCCTTCCCTAAGTAGTCTGAAGTATTTATTCACTCATTTAGCATTTATTGTGCATCTATTAGGGTTAGGTGCTGTTCTAAGTACTGGGAATACAGTCTCAAACAAAACATGGAGCCTACATTTTAGGGTCAACCACTTGCGTAGCAGGCTCTGCCTTACCACTGTGTATGATGTCACAATGGAGAAAACCCTCTCCCCAGTTCTCACTGCTCCTGACTGCTAATGCCTGCTTTTTGTTTCCCTCTGAGAAGAGATTGGGTTAGCCCATTCTTTCTCTTTGTGCTTGATAGTCATTATAAAGTGTTACAACCTGCCTTGTTCACATACACATAAGTCTACTCCTACAGTCCCATTCTGTCACCAAATACTTAGCCCTTGACTAACCCTGAGAACAGTTTAATTAATGAGGAGGTTAGCACTACATTGTTTTGATTTTCACTGGTATCTTTAAAGATGGGGCAGATAGAAATGTAAGTTTTAATTTTAGGATAGCCTTGCTAATGAATAATTCATATATTGAAGAGAATAAAGCATGAACAAAAAACCCCATGAATTCAATAATTAAACATTGGCCTGGTTTCCTCCAATTTAAAATGAGGATTGGGTTCTCTCTAATGTGAAAAAAAGCCAACACTTACATTGTACTTTGTTCCAAGCACTCCAGGATGCTCTTTATATAATTAACTAATTTAATCCTCACAACAGCCATATAAAGTGGTACTATTGAATCTATTTCCTGAGAAAATTTGGGCACAGAGAGGTTAAGTAATTTGGCCAGGGTCACACAGATAGTTAATGGTCCAAAGACTTGTCAGCACCGAAAGCACAACCTTAGTAGCGGTTTCCAAACAAGATTCTTCTTCAGTACTAACTGAAAAGTTTTAAAACAAAAGTAAACAACTAAATAGATTCCTAGGCCCAATCCAAATCCTATTTTTTTAGTCTTCAGAGTTAGAACTCTCAAATCCATATTTTAAAAGGAGCTTCCTGTAAATACTTGTGATGCAAACAGTCTAAAGCCTGATATTTAGAAACTACTGATGTTCTCTTGCCTATGACCTGAAGCGGAGAAGAAGGCTGTATTACAAGTATAATACAATGCCACAAATTTATTTCGATCATTTATTATGTACCAGGCACATTGCTCATCAATAGTGATACAGAAATGTTAAGAGACTCTCTGTTCTTAAGAAGCTTGCAGGCCGGGTACGGTGGCTCATGCCTGTAATCCCAGCTGCGGTGGGCAGATCATGAGGTCAGGAGTTTGGGAGGCTGAGGTGGGCAGATCATGAGGTCAGGAATTTGATACTAGCCTGGCTAACATGGTAAAACCCTGTCTCTACTAAAAATACAAAAATTAGCTAGGTGTAGTGGCGCACGCCTGTAGTCCCAGCTACTTGAGAGGCTAAGGCAGGAGAATCACTTGAACCCAGGAGGCAGAGGTTGCAGTGAGCTGAGACCATGACATTGTACTCCAGCCTGGACAACAGGAGTGAAGTTCCATCTCAAAATAAATAAATAAAAATAAAGCTCACAATTTCCTGAGGGAGAGACAAACAGATATACATGTAATGAATGACAACATACCATAATAGTATCAAGTGTATAGTTTATCAGGAAATGTATTCAAAGCTTTATGGAAGCCTGGTGGAAAAAGAATTAGTCATGCCTAGTGATCTGGAGAAGTTCTCACCAAAGAGGTGACCTTGAAGGATGAGTGGCATTTCTCTAGGTTAAAAGGAAATCTTTTGGCTTTTATCTTATTACCACTGGGACTTACTTGGAGAGTATAAAGTATGGGTTGGTGTGATTTGCATGTACTCTGATAATTATACGAAGGATGAATTGGAGTGGAGAGGTATGAAACACAGAGATTATTTGGAAATCTATGGAAATAGTCCAGGAAAGATGATAAGAGCCTGAAATATGGCAATAGGAAGAGAGGACAAGAAGATTCCAGAGACTGTCTCAAGTAAAAATAGTAGGTCTTGGCAGTGAGTAAATATGGGAATGTGGGTGAAAAAGAAGGCAAGAATAACTTTAAGTGATGCAGGATGGCACAATTTGCTATTAATGAAATCAAGGATCAGGATCAGGATAAGGAAGAAAGGGCATTATAGTAAAAATATGAATTTGGCATTAGACACTCAACTCAGCATGAGTCACTACATCCAAGGGGAATATATAGAAGATTCTTGGGGATATGGTTCTGGTGTTTATAAGAGGCGTGGAGACTGAAAATTTGGTGATCAACGTAGAGTAGACAGTCATGAGATTACTGGGAGAGAGAGAGTTAACACTGGTTGAGTGTTTCTCATCAAAGAGGCACTATTCTAAGTGTTTCTACATATAATTTAGTCATTTAAACCTTACATCCCTGTGAGCTAGGTACTATTATTTTCTTTCATTTGATAGATGATAAAACAAAAACATAGAGAGGGTAAGTCACTGCTCAGGGTTGCTCAAGTAGCAAGTGATAGGCCTAGGGGTTCAAACCTCAGTAGTCTGACTACAGAGCATGCATATGTAACCACTTTGGTACATTACATCTCAGCAAAGGATGAAAAAAAAGGAGTGCTGAGAGAGGTCAAACTCCTAGGAGTAATGTTAAATAACTATTTTCAAGGCATCTAAATTCTAAACAGACCTTTAGCTTGAGGTTTGGGAGGTTGGAGGACAATGAAGCACTTTAAGATAAAGCCTTCACATACTTCAGAAGCCTCTTGCCAATGTGGTCTGAACCCCTCAAACCACCTGGCTTTGTGGTGATTTGCCCAGTTTTATTCCCCCAACTTCTTGACCCACAGATGCTCTTACCTGCTCCAAGATCTTCATAAACAATACTTCCAACTGCTTTTGCTTTTTCAAGGTGCTCATCCTGGAAATCTCCCGAGAAATAGGGAACTATACAAAGAATTTTGAGAATATTGAGTATGGGAAAATAGCAAAGGAAACTATTGGCTGTGCAACTTTTGGCAAAACGCTTAACTGGTCTGTGTCTTAAAAGTCCTCATGTGTTAGATAAGTGGTCCTAACCTTTTTGGCACCAGGGACCAGTTTTGTGGAAGATAACTTTTCCATGAACTGGGGCAAGGGGGATGATTTGGGGATGATTCAGTTGCATTACATTTGTTGTGCACTTTACTTCTATTATTGCATTGTAATATATAATGAAATAATTATACAACTCATCATAATGTAGATAGAATTCATGGAAGCCCTGAATTTGTTTCCTTGCAACTAGATGGTCCCATCTAGGGGTGATGGGATTCAGTGACAGATCATCAGGCATTAGATTCTCATAAGGAGCACACAGTCTAATATTTCTTGCATGCGTAGTTCACAATAGGGTTCATGCTCCTACGAGAATCTAATGCTGTTGCTGATAGACAAGCGGAGGAGCTTAGGTGGCAGTGCAAGCAGTGAGGAGCGGCTATAAATAGAGATGAAGCTTCACTTGCTCACCCACTGCTTACCTCCTGCTGTGTGGTCTGGTTTCTAACAGGCCACGATCTGGCACCAGGGCTTGGGGACCCCTATGTTAGATAATTCAGGAAAAAGCAGGGCACAGCCTGCATTGACATCACTTGTAGGAACAGACTGACTTTGTTCCCCAGAGTAGCTAGTATAGGGTAGCTATGATAGAAAGGTAAGAAAAGAATGAGTCAGCAAATGGCCATTTGGATTTTCTTGACCGTGGTATTTCTAGATACCTCTAATATGTCAAGAATGTGGATGCACATCCAAAGAGGATTCCATTTACTCACCATCTGAATACTCCAGATATATAGACCAAAGAGAGGCTAAGTCACAAAGCACCAGGGAGGAGTTGCTGTGCCTGCCCATGGCTGTTTGTGCAGAAGTATAAAACTAGCTAGTTACCTGAACAAGGAAAACATCATTAAGAAGACAGTAGAACTTTTCATCCAACAGTGTCATGACTTTATTTCGAAGGTTGGTCTGCCGTTCTTTATAATGTTTACAAGTGTCCAGGCCTAGGACACTGGCTATGAGCATCTGGATGGTATGCAAAGTCTGATGGAAGCTGATCTTAGTCAATTCAATGGCAATAATCCTGTTTGTGAGAAAATCAAGAATCAGAAGAGAGTTTTTAAATATATTTTTTTTGAAAATAATAAAGATTGAAGGAAAGCTCTGTCTTCTCATATTCAGCTGTAATGATGGAGATTTTCCAAGCTATCTGGCAATGGTTTTTTATTGCTCCTTCTGAAATACTCCCTTATTCTCCTGTTCCTAAGCCCTGATTAATTTAACCTAGCTAATTCTCTCCTTTCTAGTCCTACTGCCACCCTATACTACCACAATAGCAAGCCACCACCCCCATCCAGGATCATGACCCTCTGACTGGGAGCTCCTATTGCCTAAAGACATGAACCCAGGCCTCCTTTATGTGACACATAAGACACCCAAAGCCTCATTCTGTCCTTTCTTGCCACTCTCTGCCTAGCAATCTGCCCTTTACCAACAGCACACAGGTGAGAATTCCGTGTACACTCAGACCTGTTTCTCCTCTCCATGCCTTTGCTTATGCTGTCTCCTCAGCCCAGAGTGCCATCACTTCTTACTGCCCCTCAGCTGATGTTCATCTGTAAATCTTAGCTCAGGTGTAGCCTCCTGGAAACTGTCATTGATGCCCCAAGGTTGGCTACATAGCCTTTCTCCTCTGAACTTCCACAATTCTCTACCGCATGTCTCTATCATTGCCCTCACTATATTCTACTTATATTGTTATTTGATATGATTTGGCTCTGTGTCCTCACCCAAATCTCATCTCAAATTGTAATCCCCGACTGTCAGGGGAGAGACCTGTTGGGAGGTTATTGGGGTGATTGGATCAGGAGGGTGGTTCCCCCATGGTGTTCTCATGATATTGAGGGAGTTCTCATGAGATCTGATGGTTTAAAAGTTCGGCACTTCCTCCTTTGCTCGCTCTCTCATGCTGCCATGTAAGACATTCCTTGCTTCTCTTTTGCCTTCTGTCACAATTGCAATTTTTCTGAGGCCTCCCCAGCCATGTGGAACTGTGAGTCAATTAAACCTCTTTTCTTTATAAATTACCCAGTTTCAGGTAGTTCTTCATAACAGTGTGAAAATGGACTAATACATTATTCTCTCCTCCTCTTCTGTGAGAGCTCCTTAAGAGCAGAGATCGACTTTATTCATATTCAGGGCTTTGGTACTTGTTATGGGTTGACACATGTCCCCACAAAATTCATATGTTATATTCTTAGCCTCTAGGACAGGCGTCCCCAAACTTTTTACACAGGGGGCCAGTTCACTGACCCTCAGACCATTGGAGGGCCGCCACATACTGTGCTCCTCTCACTGACCACCAATGAAAGAGGTGCCCCTTCCTGAAGTGCGGCGGGGCGGGTGGGGGGGGGATAAATGGCCTCAGGGGGCCGCATGTGGCCTTTGGGCCATAGTTTGGAGACGCCTGCTCTAGGACGTCAAAGTATGACTTTATTTGAAAACAGGGTAGTTGCAGATATAATTAGTTAAGATGAAACCATGCTGGAGTAGGTGGACCTCTAATCCAATATGACTGATGCCCTTAGAAAAAGAAGAAATTTGGACACAAATGACACACAGGGAGAATGCCATGTGAAATGAAGGCAGAGATCAGGGTGATGCTTCTACAAGCCATCTTTGGAACATCAAAGATTGCCAGCAACCACCAGAAGCTAGCAGACGGGCATGAAACAGATTCTTCCTCATGGTCCAGAAAAGAAAAAAAAAATGTCTTGATCTCAGACTCCTACCTCTGAGAACTATGAGACAAGTTTCTATTGTAAGCCACCCATTTATAGTACTTTTTTACAGTAGCCCTGGCTAATGAATACAGCACTTAGTACTTCCTGAACATAGTAGGAATTCAATAAATGATTGAATACGTAAATAAGCAAATGCTTTCTGACTGTTGTGAATTATCCCCTCAGCTATGGTAAAGAGGTTTTAAAACTGGCCTTTCTCAGGCCTGACTTTAATGTGGGATAGAGATATAGAGATACAACTAAAAATAATATAGATTAACAAGCATTTTCCCCTCATACTGTTTAGGTTAGATGGGGAAAAGATTTGAGACATCATCCTTATTGTCCTGGTCATCACTACTGTTATTTAATACTGTATTATCTACTTCCATGAGGAAGTAGAACAGATTGTCCCAAAGATAGCCCTCATAATACTCCTTATATGAAAATAAATAAACATGAGTCAAGTATATTAGCTCTATCTTCCAGGGAAAAATCCAAAGACCTGTCATTCTCTATCCCACAGTCTCAGGACTAAATAGTTTGAACTAGTGATTCCCTGTCAGCTAGCTAAATAAACTTATGTATTTGTTCTGCAGACCAAATCTAGCCTTGATCTCAACATCTATGCCAGTGTTTCTCTATCTGTCTGACTATTGGGACTACTTAAAAACCTTTGACTAACCAAGCCCTACCTGGCATTAAATCAGGATATCCATGGGCCAATCCAGTTTCTCTTTTTCTTAGTTCTGTATGTTTATTGTTAGTTACCTATTTAGCACAAGGGTCATGGGACCCAATAAATGTAGATTATGGATAATTTACATAAGGCAAATTATAGGAAGGAGAGAAACATCCAGATAAATCGGGATTCTGAGTTCACACTGAATGATTATTCCAAGACACTTACCTGTGGTTCTCACCGTGGGCCAGGTATCCAATTTCCGTAAGTATCTTGCTTTTTCCATATCCCGTTAATGCCTCATACATTAAGACTCGGCTGCTGTTAGACATCAAAAATTCATTCATAGTATCAATGAAGTATTTGATCTCTTTATCACGTCCTGTAATTTTTAGTGTTAAAAAAGAGCAAACTCATCAACATAAAATAGTCTACGGATATTTTAAAAAACACATAAAAACACTTCTAAAAATATCCTTGGGCTGGGCACGGTGGCTCCCGCCTGTAATCCCAGCATTTAGGGAGGCCGAGGTGGGTGGATCATCTGCGGTCAGAAGTTTGAGACCAGCCTGATGAACATGGTGAAACCCCATCTCTACTAAAAACACACACAAAAAATGACGAGGTGGTGGGTGCCTGTAGTCCCAGCTACTCAGGAAGCTGAGGCTAGAAAATTACTTGAACCCAGGAGGCAGAGGTTGCAGTGAGCCGGGATCACACCATTGCACTCCAGCCGGGGCAACAAGAGCGAAACTCTGTCTCGAAAAAAAAAAAAAAAAAAAAAAAAAAATCCTTGAAATTTCCATGGCATTGTTCAGACTTTCTTGAAGCCCTATGAACTTTCAAAATGTTTTAAGTCTTCCCGGGAGCTTTTTAGCTAACCATGTGGTTTTGCAGTGTTATTTGATTAGAGGCCGTGAGGGAAATTATTCTTATAATGCTCATTATAACATTTAATTATAGTGTAGAAAACTCAGATTTGCTTAGATTACACAACCAGGAAGTAGTAAGCCAAGGCTATCTAACTTACGTAAAGCTTGTTTTTTTAAATAACACACTAGAAGTAATCTGTAGACTATTACATTAGGAAATAAATTTATCAAAGTTAGGTTTTCTACATTAAACAATTATGGATAAAATAATTTTACTTCTGATTCTGTAATAAAGAAAACTTGCCCTCTATAAATGAAAACTATACTAATTTAGGTCTACAAAAAGCCTTGCCAGGAATAAAATTCAATTTGCCTTCAGAAATCATGTATAGATTATTTCTATCATAAAAGTAATGTAAATTCTTAATGAAAATAAATTGTAGATTTTTTCTGATTATAAAACTAACATATGCTTACTGTAGAAAATATGGAAAACTTGGAAAAGAAAAAGAAAAAAAATCACTTTGGGTTACAATCCTTATTTTTCTTGTGTGTTTTTAAATACTGTAACAGGATGCCCAGGCTGAAATCTGAAACTCAGCTCACAGTCTTTGCAATCTGGGTGGACAGGAAGGAGCTGGAAGAATTGTAATTTCTAAGCAGTGAGCAATTTTTGTCAAAAAAGTTGGAGACTCATTTAGAGCCAACTATTCCTTCTTTGCTCTGATAATATACAGGTATTAGCTAATGTCTTTGTTGAAGGACTGTTAATACAAGTGTAGATGTTTAATAAAAAGAAGCTAAGTGCTTTGCTTGGTAATATAAATTTCTGAGTAAGGATTAGTGAGAACTACTTAGCAGATTGTATTGCTTCTTTTGAGTGAAATATTCCCTTTCTGAAAATGCATTTGAACCTCAATTTTGTGAGATCTTTTTTCTTTGGCCTGGAGCTCACATAGGAACTCATAAGATGAGGCTTAAAAGGCTGCATAGTGCTACACCTACAGGTAGAACCTTTAGCTGGATTCTAAAATGGGTTGTCTCTTTAACTTAAAATGCATGCCCCTTGTTTCTTTTTCTTTTTTTTTTTTTGAGACAGAGTTTCGCTCTTGTTACCCAGGCTGGAGTGCAATGGTGCTGTCTCGGCTCACTGCAACCTCCGCCTCCCAGGTTCAGGCAATTCTCCTGCCTCAGCCTCCTGAGTAGCTGGGATTACAGGCACGTGCCACCATGTCCAGCTAATTTTTTGTATTTTTAGTAGAGATGGGGTTTCACCATGTTGACCAGGATGGTCTCGATCTCTTGACCTCGTGATCCACCCGCCTTGGCCTCCCAAAGTGCTGGGATTACAGGCTTGAGCCACCGCGCCTGGCCAGCATGCGCCTTGTTTTTATCTAAGCAAAGTGTCAATATCAGGGACTGTTGTATGCATTTTTTTTTTTACCCTAAAAAGCCACAATTAATTAATTAATTTAGGAATGACAAGTAGTGAAGTTTGTTGGAGAATAACAGTAGACAGGAGATTATTAGTGTAGATTATGTCCAAGCACTCCATCTATGTATATGTCAGGTAAGTGATGTAATTCTTACTTTACCAGTGAGGAAATGGGCTTGGAGTAATGAAGTCAGGTGCCCAAGGCCTAATGGCTTTGATCATAGATCCACTGGATTTCCTAAGCTCACTCTCAACTAGGGTAAGCCTTGATGGGTGGATGTGACAGAGTGAAGGGGCTGACAGAATCTAGGGTGTTTTGTAAGAACAGAGTTGAAGTGATTGAGTAATAAATTAAAACTAGATTGGGTGAGGAGGGCCACTAAGTGTTACCCAGGCTGGAGAAGCCAGTGAAATAGGTTTGTACTTTTTCTTCCTTTTTTAACTTTCATCTTACTTTCTTTTTTTTTTTTTTTGAGATGGAGTTTTGCTCTTGTTGCCCAGGCTGGAGTGCAATGGCGCGATCTCGGCTCACTGCAACCTCCGCCTCCTGGGTTCAGGCAATTCTCCTGCCTCAGCCTCCTGAGTAGCTGGGATTACAGGCACACGCCACCATGCCCAGCTAATTTTTAGTATTTTTAGTAGAGACGGGGTTTCACCATGTTGACCAGGATGGTCTCGATCTCTTGACCTCGTGATCCACCCACCTTGGCCTCCCAAAGTGCTGGGATTACAGGTTTGAGCCACCGCGCCCGGCCTCATCTTACTTTCTTAAACATTGTTTGTATTACCATACTTTCTTACCAGTAAGACTTTTTACTGTTGAGCTGACACTTCTGTTTAGGTAGATCATGAATGAGTGTTTTGGTTTAGCGAATTTTTCATTCCTTGTTCATCCCTACCTACCTTGCCTACATTGTTTACATCCTAGCATGCTTTTTCCACTTTATTCAACTTTTCAAAAGCAGCTCCATTCTCTCCAGGGAGCATCTAGATTATTTTTTGTTTGACAGAAGCCACTTCAGGGATGCTATCGAAATATCCTTAGAATTTATAGATGTGTAGTTTGTTGTGTTACTATTTTTAATGACTATTTAAATGCATTATTAACATAAAAATTTTTTCTCTGTTTTCATTAGATTACAAATGAATATAATTATATTCTATTAAATTACACCCAATTTGTGGGCCTCATTATTGAAATAGAACCTTTTTCTAAGGAACATAAGGAGCATAATATCACACAATTTATTTATTATAGTTTTGTTGTCAACCATGTTGTTGCAATTTCATTTATAGCAGTTCTTGTGAAAGAATGGCATTTCCCATGCTGCTAGCCTCTGACAATCTGTGTTTGGTTAAAACTTCAAGGAAAGGTATGTGGGCCTGTTCTTTATGTCATACTGGTGGAATCAGGGCAAAAAGACAATTAGATCAGACTGAGAAATAGACGCATAGGCTGGGCTCAGTGGCTCACACCTGTAATCCCAACACTTTGGGAGGCTGAGGTGGCTGGATCACCTGAGGTCAGGAGTTCAAGACCAGCCTGGCCAACATGGTGAAACCCCACCTCTACTAAGAATACAAAAATTAGTCAGGTGTGGTGACACACATCTCTAGTCCCAGCTACTTGGGAGGCTGAGGCAAAAGAATAGCTTGAACCTGGGAGGTGGAGGTTGCAGTAAGCCAAGATTGCGCCACTGCACTCCAGCCGGGGGGACAGAGCGAGACTGTGTCTCAAAAAAAAAAAAAAAAAAAGAAAAGAAATATACACATAAGGCCGGGCGCGGTGGCTCAAGCTTGTAATCCCAGCACTTTGGGAGGCCGAGGCGGGTGGATCACGAGGTCAAGAGATCGAGACCATCCTGGTCAACATGGTGAAACCCCGTCTCTACTAAAAATACAAAAAATTAGCTGGGCATGGTGGCACGTGCCTGTAATCCCAGCTACTCAGGAGGCTGAGGCAGGAGAATTGCCTGATCCCAGGAGGCGGAGGTTGCGGTGAGCCGAGATCGCGCCATTGCACTCCAGCCTGGGTAACAAGAGTGAAACTCCGTCTCAAAAAAAAAAAAAAAAAAAAAAAAAAAAAGAAATATACACATAATGTATTCTAATGTGACTGTTGTATTGGGTCTGCGATCTTGTAGAAAGAAGGTTAGGATTCCATTGCTGTCAATCATTAAAATAAGCATATCCCAGGATGAAAAGGACTCAAAGAAGGGTGAGAGTGGGTATTCCTTCTCTCTTGTAGCTTAAGGAGTTTGGGAATCTGGACTTAAATGAAGTGATTGGCTTGATTCTGAAAAGGGCCTGAAGTGAAAATTGGGCATTTCTGCTGGCCCAAGCATTTTTTGCAGTCTGGAACTGTTACCCTCCTTTAGGCTCTGCTGACACCAAGACTGTGGCCTGATATTTCTCCAAAGTGTGAGACAGAGCCTTCTCTTAATTGCCCTATCACAGTGAGGACCAAGATTTAACTTATGATAAGACTTTCAGGGATGTTCGTATCTGACAGAAGGAAATTACAAGTGCTGCTAGAAGTGGCTGCCTTTGGAATCCACAGGCCAATCTTTATTGGGTCTCTTCTCTCATAGGTATATCCTTGCCTCATTTTAGGTCAACTCCCCTGTCTAATCTCAAGTTATCTCTTATACAATAAGGTCTCTATCACCAGGAATCACAAAAATATCACTTCCAAATTGATTGTAGACTTAAATATAAAAGGTAAAAACAACATTTCTGAAAAAAATGGTAGAAAAATATCTTCATGACTTGTAGGTGAGAAAGGATATCTCAGATACAGACAGAAGCACTAACTATAATAGACAGGTAAATTTGATTACATTAAAATTAAGAGCTCTGTTTATTAAATGCGTAATTGAGAGAGTAAAAAGGCAAGCACAGAGTTGGAAGAGTGATATACAGTGCAAACAAATGACAAAAGACCCATTTCTAGGATGTGTAAATAATTCCAAAAGATAATCAAAATACAACCCAGTTGAAAAATTGGTGAAAAATTGTACAGATACTTTGAGAAAAAGGTTTGGGCTGGGGCAGTGGCTCATGCCTGTAATCCCAACACTTTGGGAGGCCAGGGCGGGCAGATCACTTGAAATTAGGAATTCAAGACCATCCTGACCAACATGGTGAAACCCTATCTCCACTAAAAATATAAAAATTAGCTGGGCATGGTGGTGGGCGCCTGTAATCCCAGCTACTCAGGAGGCTGAGGCACAAGAATTGCTTGAACCCAGGAGGTGGAGGTTTCAGTGAGATGAGATCACACCACTGCACTCCAGCCTGGGTGAGACTCTGCCTCAAAATAAATAAATAAATAAACCCAAATGGCCAATAAACTTATGAAAAAGGAGCTCAACTACATTAGGGAAATACAAATGGAAACCACAATAAAATACCACTATATACCCAACAGAATTATTGAAAGGATTAAGATTGATAAAACTAAGTTATTGACAAAGATGAAGAACAAGTGGAACTCTCTTAACATTCTTGGTTAGCATATATATAAATACAAGCACTTTGGAAAACCATTTGGCATCATCTCCCAAAATTGCGCTCTTTGTCCCAACAATTTCACTCCTACATTGTACTCAACAGAAATGCATACATGTGTTCACCAAAAGACTAGTGTAAGAACGCTAATGGCAATATTATTCATAAGAACCAAAAGCTAGAAATAACCTAAATGTTGTACAACAACAGAATGGGCAAATTGTTTTATATGTATAAATGTGGAATACTACATAGTAATTACAGAGAATGAATTATAGCTACACCCAACAATATGGATGAATTATATAACATACCATTGAGTAAGAGAAAGTAGATATAAGGCATATATAATTATACAATGTATGATTCCATCTGTATGAATTTTTTAAACAGGCATAAGTAATCAAGGGTGTTGGAAGTCTTGGGGAAAGGAAGTAGGAAAGAGCAATCTTGGTGTATTGCTCTTTTTCTATTTCCTACCCTGGATGATGATTATGTTTTCATTTTGTGATAATTCATTAAACACACACTTATCATTGATGTACTTTTCTGCAGGTTTTGTTATAGTTTAGTAAAGAAGTTTAAAATCAAGGCCTACTACCTACCAAGCAAAGGGCCGCCCTCATTTCTGTCGCAGATGACGTACGACACACCAACCATGCTGAAGAGAAGAAAAAAAGAACAGATGTTAGATTCAAAACAGGGAAATATTAGAGCAAAAGTGACTAGTTCTTAGTTCCCAGAAAGTTTCCTTCTTAATCGCTAACAAGAGTCTATCCCCTGACTCAAGAGTTGCAAATACCGAAAGAAGGAGAAAGGAGGAGAAAGTCTTACTTGAATTCCAAAGAACTCAAATAGCATCTGTTTACCACAGTACTGGCATATTGTTCAATAAATGCTTGTTGATTCTGTACTGGTAGAGGAAACCCCTTTCTGGGGAGATCAGACACCTGCTATATGACCTAGTAGACTTTAATGTGGGGCAGAGTCACACATCCTGCAAAGATTCCACCAATTGCTCAAACAATAATAACGTACCTTTTTTGAGCACGTTATGTGTTTGGCGCAAAGTGCTTTTTATATGCATCATTTTTAAAATCCTGACAAAAACACTGTAAAAAAGTACTACTGGCTGGGCACAAGGCCTCATGCTTGTAAACCCCGCACTTTGGGAGGTTGAGGTGGGTATATCATCTGCGGTCAGGAATTCAACACTAGCCTGACCAACATGGTGAAACCCCATTTCTACTAAAAATACAAAAATTAGCTAGTGTGGTGCTGTAATCCCAGCACTCTGGAGGCTGAGGCAGGAGAATCACATGAACCCAGGAGGCGGAGGTTGCAGTGAGCCGAGATCACGCCATTGCACTCCAGCCTGGGCAACAAGAGCAAAGCTCCATCTCAAACCAACAAAGAAGTACTATTATTAAGTTCATTTTACCAGTGAGGAAATTCAGGCACAAGGCGTTTAGCTACCAAGTTCCCATAGCATGTGGTAATACAGGATACTGACAGTATCCAAACGTAGGCCAGGCTGCAGATGTTTGCTCACTCCATAGTACTATCTCTCGAAGAAGCCCTTTAGTCAAAATGCATTATGCCTTTCTCTGAACTACAATACTACTTTGTTATGCCTCTCTTATAGCATATATCAAAGGTTCCCATGTAACGTACAGCTAACTTTCTGTATGTCGGTCTTCCCTACTTGATTGTGAATTTTCAGGGCAGTAACTAGGCCCTGTTCATAACTGTATGTGTATACACTCTTTTATCTACAGAGATGGTACCAAAAAAAATCTTGAAGAGTGCAGGCTTTGGGATCATGTAGTCCTGGGTTTGCATAGTAAACCGACTGCATTAATGGCCCCAGTGCCTGTTCTATGCCTCTTGCTATGTAACTTGGCAGAGTCCTCTCGTTCTGGACTCAAGCCTTGTGGATGCTTTTGTCAATGGAATATCTGCAAACATAGACATAGGAAGAGGCTTGAAAAATGCTTTTGCATTGGACCTGTTCTCTTGGTCCTCCAATATTGCTGGGACAAACATGCCGGGTGGAAGATGAGATGCGTAGAGCCAAATTGCCCCAGTTATACAAATTGAGGCCATCCTAGGTTGGCCAACAGGCTGTTGAACCCCAGGCATGTGAATAAGGCAAGACACGATCAACCAAATCCAGCCAAGAACAATTGAATCCCACATTTGTGAGAAAAATAAATGTTTATTTTTGCACACCACAGAGGCTTTGTGATTGCCTGTAAGGCCACATTATTGTGACTAAATCTTGGCTCCATTGCTCAGTAATGGCCATAGACAAGTCCTTTAACATCTCTGAGCCTCAGTTTTCAAATTTATAAAATGAAAATTTTAATAGTTTCTATCTCATATAGTCAATATTAAGAATAAATTGGCTGGGTGCTGTGGCTCATGCCTATATCCTTAGCACTTTGGGAGGCCAAGGTGGGCGGATCACAAGGTCAAGAGATCCAGACCATCTCCTGGCCAACATGGTGAAACCCCATCTCTACCAAAAATACAAAAATTAGCTGGGCGTGGTGGTGCATGCCTGTAGTCCCAGCTACTCAGGAGGTTGAGGCAGGAGAATCACTTGAACCTGGGAGGCAGAGGTTGCAGTGAGCCAAGAACACACCACTGCACTCCAGCCTGGTGACAGAGCAAGACTCCATCTAAAAAAAAAAATGACTTAATTATACACTTTGAGATAAAGTAACTGATGTTTAATAAATATTAAAAATATTATTCATTCATTTATTCAACTTGCACTTTATTGATGGCCTACATATGCCAAGCACAGTGCTAAGCCTCAGGAATACTGAAGTGAGTAATAAAGACACCTTGACCCAACTGCAGCCCTGATTCTGTTATCTGACCCTTGAAGACCTCGATTCTAGCTTGCTAATATAAAGAATAACAACTTTCTGCTTTCCATGCTATTTATTTGTTCATCATTATTGCGGACCTACGGAATACCAACCACTGGGGAGATAAGAATAAATAAATAATTAGTATCTTCAGAGTTCACAGTGTAACAAGTGAAAAGTATATCAACTGAATAATTGTGATATAGGGTGAGGAGTGCTCTACTATAGGTATATGCTGTCAGAGGAAAAAAGGAAGAGGAAAAAGGATGACAAAGGAGGAAAGAGCTTAACTGTCTAGTTGAGATGGAGAATTCATAGAGGAATGTCTATGAAACCCTTGAGCTGGGTTTCAAAAATTGACTGTGATTTTCCCAGTAGACCAGGGATGGGTGGGTGCTGATGAGGACAATCTACTTAAACATCCCAGAGGAGGGAGCACAGGAAGAGATGAGGTTGTATATCACTGCAAAGAATTTGATCATCACCATGAAAATGACTAGAAGCCACTGAAGGATTTTAAGCTTCAAAGTGACACCCACAAATCTATACTGAGATTTTGGGGAATGTATTTCTCTAAAGACTTAGAGGAGATATAATATCTTATACTCTTCTAACCCTAACAGTGCCTGGGCATATGGTTGGTATCATTAGTAAATATTTAACAGTTGAGGATTGGGTCCATTGTGTGTAAACAGATACTCAGATGGGAGGATTCTTTGGTTTATACAACCTTTGAAGAGTCACCCCTCAGATTCTCAGATCTGAGGAGAGAGTGGGATCTTCCACCATGCCATAATGTCAGTCGGATGGAGAAAAGATGAAGGATTTTGAAGTCTAGGCCTTGGTCTGGGGAAAGCACAGATTTCAACTTCTTGAATTAGCTCCAAATCTTAAACGGTTGACGCTTTGCTATCATAATTCTCCCTCTTCTTTACTAAAATATACTTCCAAAATTAATGCCCCACACTCACACTTGTTCATTAAGGCCCAAGCACTGATAGAATGGTCCAGAATCTCCAACACCTTTCATAACTTTCTTTGGAAGCTCTTTAAAAAAGTAGGCTGGTAGGTTGCTGCCACTATAGGTGACAGAGTCACAGGTCACAATTCCTGGGAAGTACATCATCATCCTGGCAGCTATGTTGACTTTTTGACCAATAACTATAACAAGAAAGAGAAAGTGAAAGATCAGGGAAATAACCGCCATTGAACTGAACGTAATCTGAAACATACTGTCTCCAAATAGCATTTTTACCCTTTACTCCCTTTGCCTCTCATAAATGATACACAAGTCTAGCCTCAAGATCCATATTCAGCCAATGGCTATTAACAAAATATGCAGGGAGGTAGCCATTAACAAAGTTTCTGCCTCACTTGGGAGGCCAAGAGAATGACCTGCTCAGGGATGGAAGGGCCTTGAGCATGGAGCGGGCTCTGTAAGTGGGGTGACCACAGGACTGAAGTCTCTCAGAGAAGGCATAAACTGGTCTTCGGCTACAAGGTGGACAAGCGCAAGCTGGGGCCTGGGGTACTGATCCCCATGTGACACACAAAATTGTGTCTGTATGCTCCTGTGAATGAACCTTCATTTGTCAATTTCTCGATTTAGTGAACGGCCTTAGAAGATGTGTGCATGGAGGATTGAAGCAAAGCTCTGAAGGCAGACTGTGCAGGGCTGAACACCAGCTCTACCTCTAACTACTATGTGCAAATTAATTGGGACAATTACTTTAAATAATTGCCATGCCTTCGTTCTCTAACCCATAAAATAGGGATGATAATAGTATCTATCATAGAGGGTAGTTTATGAAGATTAATGAGTTAATACATGTTTATCACTTTGAACAGCAGCTGCCTGCTTGTAAGCCCTCAATTATATTACTACAAATAAGGTAGCAAATGTGTCACTTTGCCATAAGCTTGAATACTTCCAAACAAGATACTTTTTAAAAAAACTATTTATTGTGGAGAAATTTGACTATAAAATAAAATATAATGAACTTCCATATACCCATCACCCCATCCCAACAAGCCGTTAACCCATGGCTAATCCTGCTCCATCTTCAACCGCATACACTCCCCACCCTGTGTACTGTTGAAGAAAATCTCAGACATTGTATCATTTCAGACATAACTATTTTGGTATTTTACATATATTCAGTATTTTAGATGCATTATTGCTGAAAATCATAAACACTGATAGGATTGAACAGGGAAGTAATAAAGTAGTGAAATCTGGAGATATTTACTTATTACTGCTCTCTTATTTTTCAGTAATACCAATATTCATAATTTTTTTTTTTAATGGAGTCTTGCTCTGTCATCAGGCTGGAGTGCAGTGGCACGATCTTGGCTCACTGCAACCTCTGCCTCCCAGGTTCAAGCTATTCCCCTGCCTCAGCTTCCCGAGTAGCTGGGAATACAGGCACACATTTTTAGTGGCTAATTTTTTGCATTTTAGTAGGGACGGGGTTTCACTATGTTGACCAGGATGGCCTCAATCTCCTGATCTCACCTCAGATTCCCAAAGTGCTGGGATTACAGGCGTGAGCCACCGCGCCCAGCCAATATTCATAATTTTTAAGGAGTTCTAACTTATTCCAGGAATTAAGAGAAGTAACTAATGTTAACAGGAAATTATTATAAGAGCCCCTCATTCCAACAGCATATAGCCTCCCACTGCTCTCCTCCCATGACTACGTATTTCTCATACTCATGCATAGCCCCAGAAATGCACACTCTGCAACCACTGAGAGCTCTAGGGCTTGGCTTTATCTGGATAAACTTTCTGAAGGCAGGGCTCATGTCTCACTCATTTTTGTGCTTCGTTCCACAAAGCCCAGTGGCAAGGTGCTGTGTTTGCTAAAAGTGGAGATGAGCTGACTCAGCACACCTGTGTACTCATGTCTCAAAGTGTGTCCAACGATCCCACAGAAGACAGTCCCACTGGCAACACCGATGGATACAGTTCTGGTGCAGGGGAGACAAGATTTGTAGGGAAAGAGATAAAGATACTGAGTGCAGAAAAAGTGGGAAGGGTGGGAAATAATGCATGGGTTGGCAAAGGGTGGGAAAGGATTTTCTCTACCCATTTTACTTAGTTTATGGCATTTGTACGTGGCCTGGAGACGCGAAGGAGGAACAACAGTTTGAGATACAGGACTAAATTCTCTTTTTTTTTTTGAGATGGAGTTTCGCTCTTGTTACCCAGGCTGGAGTGCAATGGCGCGATCTCGGCTCACCGCAACCTCCGTCTCCTGGGTTCAGGCAATTCTCCTGCCTCAGCCTCCTGAGTAGCTGGGATTACAGGCACGTGCCACCATGCCCAGCTAATTTTTTGTATTTTTAGTAGAGACGGGGTTTCACCATGTTGACCAGGATGGTCTCGATCTCTCGACCTCGTGATCCACCCGCCTCCGCCTCCCAAAGTGCTGGGATTACAGGCTTGAGCCACCGCGCCCGGCAGGACTAAATTCTTAATTAATTGTTCTTTCTTTCCTGTTCCCTGCATGCCCTCCCTACTTATGCTTCAAAAGGGTCAGGGACTACTGGGTGGGCCAGGGTCAATACTCACTGGATTTTGTGGACTTGAGAGCAGAAGTGAAATATATCCATAGCGCATTCCAGAGCATGAGTGACTTCATCAGGTACCTTTTCCCCAGGGAAGCCAAAGACACAGAGGAAGGAGCAGCCCTGTGACAGAGAGAGACAGCAACCACGGTTGTGGACAGTGTGCTTTAAACTGGACTGGCAAGAAGGCTCAACAGAAAGCCAGAGACAATTTTCAGTTTCGGAATCAGATTTCATCATGATTTCTCTCACAGTATTTTATTTTTAGTACACTTCAATCACTTCTACTGCACCATTGATAGAAGGGCTTGTTTTTGCTCCAGAGACAGTGAACAGGGCTGAGCTATCTGTGTGCATGCTCTGGCCTACTCTCTCCTGTGGCCAAGGTCCCACGTGGCAAGGTGCTCGGTTTAAGTCTATGAAGCAGCAGCACAGAGCAGTGGAAAAGACACCAGCTCTGGAATCAGAAAGTCTCTGTCCTCAAGCTGTTTCTGAGCTGTGGAAACTTAGAGAAGTCAATTATAATCTAGGAACTTGAGTTTATCAATCTGAAAATGGATATACTGTAGAGCTGCTGAGATGTTTTTGGCTGCTAAAAGAATTAATGCGTTATATATATTCAAAAAGTCATAAACCAGAAAGCACTTTTCAGATACTGTTATCATTCTTAGGGATAAATGCTTAGGTTGTGAGTAGGTTTTCTTATCATAAAGCTAACTGTTCCAAGCAATGATTCAACTCTAAAGCTTGGCATTTGTAGTATTAGTCACGTAAAAAAATGACCTCAGTCAGGTGCTGTTGTCCGTAAGAAAAGGGTATTGTGAATAAAGGGCGATGGATTAAAATTTTGACTTTTTGACATGTTACATCCTGATAAAATGCAAAAAACACTAAAATACCTCCTTTTCTTTAACCCTCTTCAAAAGAATTTCATCAACTGTTAGATCTTAAAAGGGACTGGGATCTGGCTTCACATGAAGGGGGAAACCCTGCTTCCAGGCGTGTGTAAAGAGGGCAACCCCTTTGGGGGAAGCAAAGAGTCCTTTTGCCTGAAACTTTATGTAGTGGCTTGACAAGAGCTTTTGATTCCCCCAGTAATGTATTGGCAGCTCTCATTTATTGAGTGCTGACTCTAAGACAGGCATTACATCAAAGTGCCTCTCACATACTACATTATTTAAAACTTTCCACAGTCATTTGAGGCAAATACTATCCCCATTCAAAGAGGAATAAATCAAGGCTCAGAGAAGTTCAATGACTCGTTAAGTCTAACAGCTAGGAATCTTTGGAGCCATGTCTGTAAGACACGAAAGATTTCTCTTAGATTATTCACTATTTTCTTATGATACTCATGAGTCAATATTGAAGAAAATACTGGAGGCACCAGGCTGTAAGTAGTCCCTTTCCCAGAACTCCCATAACACAGAGTTAGTTTATCTCATGTGGAATGAGTACTTCCTGCCTGGTTGTGTAGCAATGTGTATGTTACTCATCTCTGCTGCCCAGCCCTAGCTTTCTGTCTTCTAAGAAATGCTCAATAAATGCTTGTTGAATTAGTGAATGAGTGGATGTGGGGCAGTAATTCAGTCCTCTGCTTTTAATACACAAAAACGATTGAGATGGGAAATCAGTTCTCACATATGCACCTGTGGTCATTTCTTCATCACATCGCTTTCCTCTGAATTAACAGAGTGAAAACACCTAGGAGCCGGAGGGAGTCCCCTCCCTTCCATGGATGGAAATAAAAGGGGAACTGGAGGTGTTGACATGGCAAGTGAGCATTCTTGGAAACAAGCTTCTGGGGTGTGAAGATTACTAGACTCCTGACCGGAAACCCCTGGGTAATACACCATGTGCTGGGCTGGAGACTTACGTGTAGTGAGAGGTAGCCTGGCATAGTGAGCTCAGACAGGGACCGCAGACTGCCTGGGTTTGAATCTCAGCCTCCCCCTTACTAGCTGGATGATCATGAGGAAAATGTAATCTCACCTTGTCCTGGTATCCTCTTCTCTGTCTCAGCATCCTCATCTACATAATGCGGATAATGACAGGAGTACCTACTACTCAGAGTGGTCATGAGGATGAAATGAGCCAATACACATTGAGTGCTGAGAACAGTGCCTGGCACATAATAAGCGCAATATCCACCATAGAAGTTATTATAATTATAAATAAAGACTGGATTTCTAGGTTAAATTTCCTTTTTTTTTTTTTTTTGAGGCTGAGTCTCACTTTATCGCCCAGGCTGGAGTGCAGTGGCTCGATCTTGGCTCACTGAAACCTCTGCCTCCTGGGTTCAACCCATTCTCCTGCCTCAACTTCCTAAGTAGCTGAGATTATAGGTGCATGCCACCACACCTGGCTAATTTTGTTTTATTTTTAGTAGAGATGGGGTTCCACCATGTTGGCCAGGCTGGTCTTGAACTCCTGACCTCAAGTGATCTGCCTGCCTCAGGCCTCCAAAAGTGCTGGGATTACAGGCATGAGCCACTGCGCCTGGCCTCTAGGTTAAATTTCTAGAATCTATTCTCTCTGGCTCACCAGTATACTTGTCCATGAATGCTAACCTGAAACTATTGGTAGGTTCCCATCCCATAGCTCACACTTACCTTGTCAAACATGAAGACCTTATTGATTTGGCCTCGGAAGACCTTCAGGACAGACATGATGTGCACATAGGCATCCTGGATGGCTGGGCCTATCTCTTCTGCTTTGTCTTGGTCTTTAAACATCAGGTTCACAAACACAATCGTCACTGGGCGAAGCTCAGACAAATAGCCCTGAAGCTGTTTGTCATCAATCTGCAAAGGAGAGAGCAGCTTTCTGTAGCAGGTGTCCTTGGCAGTGTCCCTCCCCCAGCTCCGCCCCCACCTCATACCCGTAATCATCTAGGGAATGTCTACCTCAGAATGTGTGAGATACAACACGGCAGAGCCAGCAGGCCTGAATTCAGGCAGATGGAAATAGAATCAAAATCCCTCTCTTGCAGTGGGGACTCACGTATGTGCTAATTTTTGGCCAGCAACCACTCCATTACCCCAACTGCTGGCTCCCTCATGCCAATATGAGCCATTGCAATAAGGGAAAGAACTACTGTTCTTTTTGGCTCTCTTATTTAAAAAAATATTGAAAATTTTAATTTTTTTAAGTCTATAGTAGATGTATATATTTACATGTTACATGAGAGAGAGACATATTTTTACAGATGGTAGGTTTATTAAAATCTATTGAGTACAGCAGAAATTATGTGTTCTGAGAAGAAACAAGCTTTACAGATAAAATTCTAGCTGGAAATACTGTTGCTTGGCAAGTTAGTGCTAAGATTTTACTATTTAATTTACATGGAAAAATTATTTGTGGCATCTGCTGAAAGCGTAGATAGATTTATATCTATCTATCTATCTACCTATCTATCTATCTACCTATCTGCCATTCTAGTACTGCCTAATTATATTTGTTTTTGGTGTTGATGTCAACTTTGATTTAACCCAGGAACTGTTGGATATAGCACTTCTGGTTACATAATATCATGAAATTATTTATTTTGCATAATGAGACAGGGTTAACTGAATGGTTTACTGTACAGTGGTCAAATTAGCAAGATACAGTATTGATGCTACTGTTGGTGTTAAAGTGATTTACTAAGAAACTAACCCATACAGTGGTAACATTTTGTAACAATGTAGAATTTTAGCTCATGTAGCACATTATGAACTAGTTTTTAAAATATTTTTTGTTTTAAAGTTGTAACTGGACAATACTATGAACTTAGCAATGAACTCCATGAGCTCATTATGCTTCTGTAACTTTCATCAAGGTGATATTGCTGAATAAACTGGATGTGAAGCACTACACAGAGTTTAGGTGGCTTTGTTATGACAAAGCATTGTAGAGGGTTTTAACTGTTGAAAGACATTGACTTACTCATGCATCTGTGGTTGCAAAGATTACATTAATGATTTGACCACTTTAATTGCCAGTATGACTGGTCTAACCACTGAATAGTCATAGGAATGCATATTTCAGTGGTCCATTCATCCTGAAATCATATATTTTGAGATGTTATTTGGGAAGAAATAAATTGGTCAATCTTTATATGCTAATATTAGTTATGCAAATGCAACTGAATAACATTCTCCATACTATGGTTTTGACAGCTGATCTTTAACAGGATTACTTGTTACGTGAGATATTTTGATACAGGCATGCAATATGTAATAACCACATCAGGGTAAATGGATTATTCATTCCCTCAAGCATTTATCCTTTGTGTTACAAACAATCCAATTATACTCTTTTTGTTATTTTAAAAATGTATGATTGTATTAGTCCATTCTCGAACTGCTATAAAGAACTACTGAGACTGGGTAATTTACAAAGAAAAGAGGTTTAATTGACTCACAGTTCCATGGGCTGTACAGGAAGCATAGCTGGGGAGGACTCAAACTTATAATCATGGTGGAAGACAAAGGAGAAGCAGGCATGTCTTACATGGCCAGAGGAAAGCAGGGGGAGGTGCTATATACTTTTAAACAACCAGATCCTGTGAGAATTCATTCCCTATCATGAGAATAGTAAGGGGGTAATCCACTCTTATGATCGAGTCACCTCCCACCACACCCCTCCTCCAACACTGAGGATCATAATTCAACATGAGATTTGGTAGTGAGATGTTGACCACCACCTGCAGAAGTCTGGCCTGCAGACCCTGACTCAATGATGGATGAATGAATGCACTCTCACACCATTAGAGTGATACCAGTGGGCTAGGGATGGCCATTGGCTGCTTTCAGAGTGTGAAATGCAACCAATCAACCAAGACTCTCTGTTCATCCACACTTTTATTCCATAGATTTTACAATAGAGGTTCTAGGTTAACACACTTGTGGATAATTAACATGGTTAAGAGAATGGTTTTACAACTGATAAAAGCTTTAGGTTCTGGGGACACAGAGTAAACATTATTATTATTATTTTTTTTTTTTTGAGACGGAGTTTCGCCCTTGTTACCCAGGCTGGAGTGCAATGGCACGATCTCGGCTCACCGCAACCTCCGCCTCCTGGGTTCAGGCAATTCTCCTGCCTCAGCCTCCTGAGTAGCTGGGATTACAGGCACGTGCCACCATGCCCAGCTAATTTTTTGCACTTTTAGTAGAGACGGTGTTTCACCATGTTGACCAGGATGGTCTCGATCTCTCGACCTCGTGATCCACCCGCCTCGGCCTCCCAAAGTGCTGGGATTACAGGCTTGAGCCACCGCGCCCGGCCCAGAGTAAACATTATTAACAGGTAATTCCCCTTTGGTCTCTCCCTGAGAGGACCATCCAGCACAAAGTTTACATGAGTAAACAGTTCAGAGTAGAGACAAAGGGATGTGGGGTAAAGCCTTTGATTGTCTCTATTTCTTTCCTATGCTAATGTTAATGAGGCGGCTGCCTTCAGCATGCCTCAGTAAAGGCATTTCAGCCTTCCAAAAGGTTCGAGATTACAATCTATAACTTTTCCTAATGGTTAACATTTTGCCAGCCACCCCAACATGGAAGGGGATACAAATCCAAACCATATCAGTGATTAAATTATTTTTTACTATAGTTACCCTATTTTGCTAGCAAATACTAGGACTTCCTCATTCTTTCTATTTTTTGTACTCATTGACCATCCGCCATTCCTCCTCACCCCTCACTATGCTTCCCAGTCTTTGGTAACCATCCTTATACTTTCTATCCCTATGAGTTCAATTGCTTCAATTTTTAGCTCCTACAAATAAGTGAGAACGTGCAGTTTCTCTTTCTGTACCTGGTTTATTTCACTTAATATAATGACCTCCAGTTCCATCCATGTTCCTGCAAATTACAGAATCTCATTCTTTTTAATGGCTGAATAGTACTCTATTGTGTGTATGTACCACATTTTCTTTATCCATTTCTCTGTTGATGGACACTTAAATTGCTTCCAAGTCTTGGCTATTTTGAAGAGCTCTACAATAAACATGGGACTGTAGATATCTCTTCAACATATTGATTTCTTTTCTTTTGAGTATGTATCTGGGGGTGGAATTTCTAGATTGTATGGTAGCTCTATTTTTAGCTTTTTGAGGAACTTTCAGACTGTTTTCCAGAGTGGTTGTGCTAATTTATATTAGCACTAATAGTGTGCAAGGATCCCCTTTTTTCCACATTTTGGCCAGGATTTATTGCCTGTCTTTTGGATAAAAGTCATTTTGGCCTGGTGCAGCAGCTCACACCTGTAATGCCAACACTTCGGGAGGCCATGGCAGGTGGATCACCTGAGGTTGGGAGTTTGAGACCAGCCTGACCAACGTGAAGAAACTCTGTCTCTACTAAAAATACAAACTTAGCTGGATGTGGTGGTGCATGCCTGTAATCCCAGCTACTCAGGAGGCTAAGGCAGGATAATCACTAGAACTCAGGAAGCAGAGGTTGTGGTGAGCCGAGATTGTGCTATTGCATTCCAGCCTGGGCAGCAAGAGCGAAACTCCATATATATATTTAAAAAAAGTTATTTTAACTGGAGATGATAATCTTATTATAGCTTTGATTTGCACTTCTCTGATAATCAATGATGTTGAGCACCTTTTCACATATTTGTTTGCCATTTGTATGTCTTCCTTTGAGAAATTTCTATTCAGATATTTTACCCATTTTTAATTGGATTATTAGATTTTTTTTCTATAGAGCTGTTAGAGTTCCTTATGTATTCTGGTGATTAATCCTTTGTCAGATAGGTAGTTTGCAAATATTTAATCCTATCTCTTCACTTTGTTGACTGTTTCTTTTGCTGTGCAGAAACTTTTAAAACTTGGTGTTATCCCATCTGTTCATTTTTGCTTTGGTTGCCTGTGCTTGTGGGGTATTGTTCAGGAAATCTTTGCCCACTCTAGTGTCCTTGAAAGTTTCTCCAATGTTTTCTTATAGTAGTTTCATAGTTTGAGGTCTCAAAATCTTTAATCCATTTTGACTTGATTTTTGTAAACAGCGAGAGATAGGAGTCTAGTTTTATTCTTCTGCATATGGATATCCAGTTTTCCCAGTACCATTTATTGAAGAGATTGTCTTTTCTGCAATGTATATTCTTGGCTCTTTTGTCAAAAATGAGTTCACTGTAGACATATGAATTTATTTCTGGGATCTCTGTTCTGTTCCACTGGTCTATGTGTCTGTTTTTACGCCAGTACTATGCTATTTGGGTTGCTATAGCTCTGGGTATAATTTGAAACCAGATAATATGATTCCTCCTGATTTATTCTTTTTGCTTAGGATAGCTTTGGCTCCTCTGGGTCTTCTGTGGTTCCATGTAAATTTCAGAATTCTTTTTCTTTTTCTTTTTTTTTTTTGAGACGGAGTTTCGCTCTTGTTACCCAGGCTGGAGTGCAATGGCACGATCTCGGCTCACCTCAACCTCCACCTCCTGGGTTCAGGCAATTCTCCTGCCTCAGCCTCATAAGTAGCTGGGATTACAGGCACGTGCCACCATGCCCAGCTAATTTTTTGTATTTTTAGTAGAGACGAGGTTTCACCATGTTGACCAGGATGGTCTTGATCTCTTGACCTTGTGATCCACCCGCCTCGGCCTCCCAAAGTGCTGGGATTACAGGCTTGAGCTGCCGCGCCCGGCCAGAATTATTTTTCTATTTCTGTGAAGAATGTCACCGGTATTTTGATAGGTATTGTATTGAATCTGTAGATTGCTTTGGGTAGTATGGACATTCTACCAATCTATGAGCGTGGAATACCTTTCATTTTGGTGGGGGGGGGCTCCTCAATTTTTTGCATCTATGTTTTATAGTTTTCATAATAGAGATCTTTCACTTCTTTGGTTAATTACTAGGTACTTTATTTGTAGCTATTGTTAACAAAATTATTTTCTTAATTTCTTTTTTAGATTGTTCACTGTTAGCATCTAGAAATGCTGGGCCGGGCGCGGTGGCTCATGCCTGTAATCCCAGCACTTTGTGAGGCTGAGGCAGGTGGATCACCTGAGGTCAGGAGTTCAAGACCAGCCTGGCCAACATGTTGAAACCCCACCTCTACTAAAAATACAAAAATTAGCTGGGTGCAGTGGTGCATGCCTGTAATCCCAGCTACTTAGGAGTCTGAGGCAGGAGAGTCGCTTGAGCCTGGCAAGTGGAGGTTGCAGTGACCTGAGATTGCACCATTGCACTCCAGCCTGGGCAGCAGAGCAAGGCACTGTTTCAAAAAAAAGAAAAAAAAAAAAATCCAGAAGAATTCTCGAGATTACCAGGCAGAGACTTTTGTTCTCTTCCCTTACTTTCTCCCAAACAAACGAGTCTCTATTTCTCTGTGCTGAGCTGCTTGGAGCTGGAGGTGGGGTCACACAAGCACCCTTGTGGCTACGATCACTGGGATTGCATTGGTCAGAACTGAAGCCAGCACAGACTGGATATTGCCCAAGGCCCACTGTGATTACTATCAGGCTACCACCTATTTTTGTTCAAGGCCTCAGGGCTCTACAATCAACAGGTGGAAAAACCAGCCAGGCTTGTATCATTCCCCTCAGGGTGACGAGTTCCCCCAGGCCCCAGGCAGGTCCACAGATGCCATCTGGGAGTCTGACTGTCTTATTTTTCTAATTAGGGATAAGGATAGCATGCTATGTAATTCAACCTTCTGGAATGTTTTCACATTCTCTTTTACTCTATGTTTAAACAAAATGAAATCAGTATTATTATCCCCATTTTACTGACTAGGTAACTGATGTGTGAAGAAGTAACACAGTTTTCCCAAGGTCACATAAGGACCCAGCAAACTAGAACCCAAATCTCCAGACTCCTCATCCAACATTTAATTTGCCACATACTCCTGCCCCTCTGGGGTGGTATATTTCATTTAGGTCCCCTCTTCTCTCCAAGCCTACCCAAAACAGGCACAGGGAAAAGAAAGGAGAGTGTTCCCAAACTATCCCTGCCAATTATCATCCGTGAATTTTGTTAATTAAGTACATAGCAAGCCAATGGGGAAAAATCACTGCACTTTCTCCCACAGAAGTGTCAGATTCTCCACTGACAACATGAAGCACATTTTCTAGACTAAAGAAGGAACTGGTATAGAGAATAATGCAGTTATGCTTCCTGACTGCCTAGGATGGTCCTAGTTTCATGTAATTTTATTCTTTTTATATAAGGGGATTTAATAATTTCTAATTAACTGATACACTGAGTTTTTTCTTTCTTTTTTTTTTTTTAGAGACAGGGTCTTGCTTTGTCCCCAAGGCTGGAGTGCAAAGGCTCCATCGTGGCTCACTGCAACCTCCATCTCCTTGCTCAAGTGATCTTCTCACCTCAGCCTCCCAAGTAGCTGAGATTACAGGCATACGCCATCACACCCAACTAATTTTTGTATTTTTGTAGAGACAGGGTTTTGCCATGTTGCCCAGGCTGGTCTTGAACTCCTGGGCTCAAGTGATCCACTTGTCTGGGCCTCCCAAAGTGCTGGGATTATAGGCATGAGCCACCACACCTGGCCCTGATTTTTCAAATAAAAGCATTCACAAATAAATAAAAAGCTTCTGTCAGATGATATATTCTGAGTTTTGGCTTGGAAAAGACCGCAGTATCTTTAAGGACCGTTCTTCTTTAGGTGCAGGGGCTGGCCTTGGTAAAGTTGTACAAGGTTGTCTTTGGTCTTGTTTTCAACCCTCTTAGCTGTACCTCTTCACCAGGTAAACATTTTTCCTACCTGGAATTTTCCCAGTGACTCACAGAGTCCATCTAATATTCCAGTGCTAAAGACCTTGCTTTTGGCTGGTTGCAAACAAAGAAGCATAATATATTATATCTCTTGAGAATGGCCAGAGGAGCATGGGGAGACTTTTTTAAGCGTCGAAAGCCATGAAGAGTCAAGCAATTGCAGGCACTAGAGGTAATGTTTTTACAATGGGCTGGAGGTGGAAGGGTGCATTCTGATACCTCTCCAATTTACTCTATGAAGGCAGCTACCCACTGGACAGGCCTTCCTTACAAAGATTTCCTCCAAGACACAACAGCATTTTGATGGACTAAGAACTAAAGCAGGCATGTATTAGGAGGGTAGATAGCCTGTGTCAAAATTGTAGAATTGAGACAGACCAGGGTTTAAATCCTAGCTGTATCTTTTACTTTACAACCTCAGGAAAGGTTCTAGTGCCCTCTGGGTTTCAGTTTTCTTATACATACAAAGTGAGGATAAAAATATCTACCAAGGGCTCAAGCCTGTAATCCCAGCACTTTGGGAGGCCGAGGCGGGTGGACCACAAGGTCGAGAGATCGAGACCATCCTGGTCAACATGGTGAAACCCCGTCTCTACTAAAAATACAAAAAATTAGCTGGGCATGGTGGTGCGTGCCTGTAATCCCAGCTACTCAGGAGGCTGGGGCAGGAGAATTGCTTGAACCCAGGAGGCGGAGGTTGCGGTGAGCCGAGATCGCGCCATTGCACTCCAGCCTGGTTAACAAGAGCGAAACTCCGTCTCAAAAAAAAAAAAAAAAAAAAAAAAAAAATCTACCAAGGACTGTGAAGAATAGTGGAAATATTCTTATACATACAAAGTGAGGATAAAAATATCTACCAAGGACTGTGAAATAGCAGAGTGACTAGCATATGGTGAGTGCTAAGAGACAGTTATAATTCACATGGATTAATAAATTTGAGAGAACCAAGATTAAGAGAATAAAAAGAGAAAACACTGGAGGATGGAAGTAGCTCAGAGTATTCTAATTACCTGTGTTGTTAAATCTCAAAACTTAAGATCTAATGCAAATGACTTGGAGAAAGAGTGTACCAGTGTTCATCCACTTGAAGTCTTCTGCTATGTGTCATATAGAGAGGGTGCCCATATGAGCTCATATGCTTGCAACAGCTTCCATCTGCCCAATTATATAAGGCAACACAGTTCTAGTTTATGCCTGTTGTCACAGTATAATGATGAATAATGCCCTCTTTAAAATTACCGAGATTTGAAAAATGACACATAGAGAATGTCTTTTTAGCCTCGGCATGGTGGCTCATGCCTGTAATCGCAGCACTTTGGGAGGACAAGGCGGGCAGATCACTTGAGGTCAGGAGTTTGAGGCCAGTCTGGCCAACATGGTGAAACTCTATTTACTAAAAATCCAGAAAGTTAGCTGAGTGTGGTGGTGCATGCCTGTAGTCTCAGCTATTTGGAAGGCTGAGGCGGGAGAATAGCTTGAACCCAGGAAGCAGAGGTTGCAGTGTGCCGAGATCGTGCCACTGCACTCCAGTCTGGGTGACAGCGAGACTCTGTCTCAAAAGAAAAAAGAATGTCTTAGCCGGGTGCAGTGGCTCACTCCTGTAATCCCAGCACTTTGGGAGGCTGAGGTGGGCGGATCACGAGGTCAGGGGATTGAGACCAGCCTGACCAACATGGTGAAACCTCATCTCTACTTAAAAATACAAAAATGAGCCGGGTGTGGTGGCACGTACCTGTAACCCCAGCTACTTGGGAGGCTGAGGCAGGAGAATTGCTTGAACCTGGGAAGTGGAGGTTGCAGTGAGCCTAGAGCACACCATTGCACTCCAGCCTGGGTGACAGATTGAGACTCTGTCTTAAAAAAAAAAAAAAAGAAAAAAGAATGTCTTTTTATTTTAATGGGACATTTTACTATTTGCTAACAGCTGCTGGGTTTTTTTCTTACATCTTAAAATTCCAGTTGTCCAGATCCTTGACATCCCCAAAGCCAATAGATTCAATTATGAAAATACCTGCTTCCAAATGCTTTCCATCACATACTTTTGTAGGGACAACTCCAGTTCAGGATCAGGCTTCAATGTGCATGCAAGCCTCAGGATATCTAAGAAGGCAGAAGGAGGATGCAGGTTCAGAGAGGGAAGCTTGGCTCTGCAGTGCTAGTGAGAGGAGACTCCCAGTCCCTATTCCCTTGGGCAGTGGGCTGTCCTGTCCTTACAGTTTTCAGGAGATGCTGGGAGACCTAGGGGCTGAAAGGGCAGGGGTAATCCAAAGAAGAACTCTCAGAGGTTGCAGGTTTCCCAAAATTCAGTCACATGTAGTTCAAAACCCTGTTCAAAATGACATATGCTTTGGAACTTAGGGAGATTTTCACTTCTGAACTTGGTTTACAACTAGTACAACAGGAGATGGGAACAAACAAATGAGGGAATGACAAGGGAGGAGCATGGTCACAGAAGGAAGGGGATGTAGAGTTGGAAGAGCAGCAGGAATAATATTAAGAAGACTAGCTTCTGATCTCAGGCTTGATACCACTTCACTGTGTGACCCTTGAGAAGTCACTTTGCTGCCCTGGTTGCCTCCTATTTCCTCAGCTGGGGAAAAAGTAGTTGAGTTTCATGATCTCTATGGTTCCCTTCACTGTAGAGGCTGACAGTTTAAGCTCTAGGTTAGACTGATAAGAGATGGTAGGAATGAGCTTGAGGAAATCAAAAAATAAGGGAGACAGAGAATGATAATGTGAAAAAAATGTGTGTGTGGCTTTTTATAGTTTGGCTGGTCCTAATTTATATCCTTTATAATAAAACCGTAACTGTAAGTATAGCACTTTGCTGAGTTCTGTGAGTCATTTCAGTGAATTTTTGAACCTGAGGGCATTTTAAAGGGATCTCCAAATTTGTAGGCAGTTGGTCAGAAGTTCCCGTGGTTTGAGGTTCCCAGAGCTTGCAGCTGGTGTCTGAAGTTTGTAGAGGATTCAACCGATGAAGTCCTGCACTAACTCCAGGTGGTTATTACATCAGAATTTCATTGTAGGCCAGGTATGGTGGCTCACGCTTGTAATCCCAGCACTTTGGGAGGCCAAGGCAGGCAGATCATGAGGTCAAGAGATTGAGACCATCCTGGCCAACATGGTGAAACCCCATCTCTACTAAAAATTAGCTAGGCATGGTGCCGCATGCCTTAGTCCCAGCTACTTGGGAGGCTGAGGCAAGAGAATAGCTTGACCCCAGAAGGTGGAGGTTGCAGTGAGCCGAGATCGCACCACTGTATCCCAACCTGGCAACAGAGTGAGATTCTGTCTCAAAAAAAAAAAAAAAAAAGAAAAAGAAAAAAATAATTGCATTGCAGTATTATGGTGCTCAAAATAAGGCCTAAAGAAACTCTTTAATAGAAGATACCATTAAGACCCAGGAGATGGCACTGGTAAAGCTCAAGGAGTGGGTAATGTCATGAGGCTTTCTCCTTGATCTCTGGAACATCTGAGGTTCTTGGCCTTTCCTGATCAGTGTTTGTACAGTCTCCCCACTTCCTACCCCACTACATATTGTGGCTTTGTAAAAGTACAATCTACTATTTATAACATCTAAAATATTCCAGACCTGTACATAAATGATGAGAAAAAATGATTCAAAATGTTTGCGGGCTAGGCGTGGTGTCTCATGCCTGTAATCCCAGTACTTTGGGAGGCTGAGGCGGGTAGATCATGAGGTCAGGAGTTCAAGATCAGCCTGGCCAAGATGGTAAAACCCTGTCTCTACTAAACATATGAAAATTAGCTGGGTGTGGTGGCATGTGCCTGTAATCCCAGCTACTCAGGAGGCTGAGAGAGAGACTTGCTTAAACCCAGGAGGCAGAGGTTGCAGTGAGCCAAGATAGCACCACTGCACTGCAGCTTGGGTGACAGAGCGAGACTCCATCTCGAAAGAAAGAGAAAGAAAGAAGAGAAAGAAAAAGAAGAAAGAAAGAAAAAAGGAAAGAAAGGCAAAATGTTTCTGATGTTTCTCATTTGGATGGGGTTTTCAGGGAAGGATAAGTAGCTAAAGTTTGGATATGTTAATATTAGATGCCTGCTTGAATCCAGTGGAAGTGGCCCATAGGCAGGGTATTTTGTTTGTTTGTTTTTTATAAATTCAGGACAAAAATCTGTCCTAGAATTCAGGACAAAAGACTGAAATGAATTCTGGCAGTTAGGTCTGGGACTTGGGTGATGTAAGCAACTTGCAGGACCTTGAGAGTGAATGTCTGCTTAAGATTTGTGACACTGGCTTCTCGCTTGCCTCATCTTACTCATATGGAAAGTAAGCATGAGTGAATGGTTCACTAAGAAGTGAGTAGAGATCCCTGAAGTCACCAACATTTAAGGAATGGGAAGGAAACTAAGCAAAAGGGATCGAAAATAGGTGATTTGAGAGGTAAAAGCAAAACTAGAAAAGAATACTCTTGAACCCAAGGAAAAAGGAGAAAGTAGTATCCAAGAAAAGAGCATAAGCTATGGTCAACGACCTACGATGAGGCCTGAGAAGAGGTCAACTGGTTTGGCAAATTTTATGGTCCTTGGTGGCCTTGACATAAACAGTCTTCAGTAGACAGCAGGGGACTGGGGTCAAAGCTAGATGTCAGGGGTACAAGATTGAAGAGCAGGTGAGTACAGACGTAAGGTGCTTGCAATCAATATTTATTGGATGAATAAGTAAATAAGGGGTTAGGAGAACAGGTATAAATGCATTTACAGATTACTGAGAAGTTTGTTGGTGAAGGTTAGGAGGGGAAAGCAGCATGCAAAGAAGCTTTATTTTTTTTTTTTCGTTCATCCTAGGGAAGACTTATTAATGTTTGGTGGGTGAGGGAAAGGAGTCAGTGCTTAGGGAGAGGTGAAGGTTGTGGGGAGTGTCATACTTAGAATCGCTGTCCCGGAGAATGGGAAGTAGGTCCCCTTTGTGTGCTGGTAAGGACCAGGAGCTGTGTTGAAGAGACCACCCACTAGTGAAGCTGTGCGCATTGGTATAAGACCCTACTGACCACTAGTAGAGTTGAAGGCTTCTTTCCATGGTGGGTACTTACTTTTGTGCTTACCAGAAGGATAATAATTCATGAAGGTCATACACTTCGTGAAAAATTCATCAAAGTTAAAATTAGGGGGTGGTTTTAAGAAGTTAACCTAAGTAAAAGAAAATGAGAAGTTTCCAGTTGTTCCAAGAACTATTTAATCCTCAGTGTGACTTCTCAGCAGAAAGTCAGGGAGTACACTTTTGACTATCTATAAAATGGTAAACAGTATTGGCATACTTAAACACCAAAAACATCTTTGATTTGTAAAATGAAATTTTAAATTGAAAATTTAAAGTCTTTCCAGTTACAGTCTTCACTTAGATCTCAGAGTTTGGTGTATGTACAGAGAGGGTCATTCCAAGGGGGACTAATCTTATACTTTTCTGCCTTTAGAACTTTCTTTTTCTCCTTCATAATATTTTAATTCAAATAAAACCTGGTTTAACTGCATACTATTTCTTTTTTTTTCCCCCCCGAGACAAAGGCTTGCCTTGTCACTCAGGCTGATCTTGGCTCACTGCAACCTCCACCTCCTGGGTTCAAACTATTCTCCTGCTTCAGCCTCTTGAGTAGCTGGGATTACAGGCACCCGCCACCACACCCAGCTAATTTTTATATTTTTAGTAGTGACGGGGTTTCACCATGTTGGCCAGGTTGGTCTTGAACTCCTGAACTCATTATCTGCCCACTTCAGCCTCCCAAAGTGCTGGGATTACAGGTGTGATCCACCTCGCCTAGCCATACCATTTTTTTCTTATAATTGTTAAAAGACAGGGGGCTGATGGCCTAAAAGGTATTAGGAGCATCACCAGTTATAAGACATCAAGATTATGAGCCACATGTGATGATAATGATACACTGAGAATGGCATGACCTCATTTTTGTGGTCTTCTTCCCCGCCCCCACCAAAAAGCATACACTTAGTCCAATAAAAAGAAAACATCTGGCCTGTAATCCCAGCACTTTGGGAGGCTGATGCGGGCAGATTACTTGAGCTCAGGTGTTCAAGACCAACCTGGGTAACAATGGTAAAATCCTGTCTCTACCAAAAATACACACACACACACACACACAAATTAGCCAAGCATAGTGGCACATGTTTGTGGTCCTAGTTACTCAGGAGGCTGCAGTGGGAGAATCACTCGAGCCTGGGAGTTAGAGGTTGCAGTGAGCTGAGATCATGCCACCGCACTCCACCCTGGGTGACAGAGTGAGACTCCATCTCAAAAAAAAAAAAGAGAAGGAGAGGAAAAAAAACATCAGGCAAAACTAAATGGAGAGATGTGTGACAAAATAACTGTCAACTCTAAAGTTTCAAGGTCATAAAAGACAAGGGAAGACTGAAGTAGTGTTACAGACTGCAGGAGGCTAAGCAAAAATAACAACAAAATGCAATGTGAGATCATGCACACAATCCTGCAACATTCCACCAAGGACTGCAGTGGGAAAACTGGTGACATTCAAATAAGGTCTTTTTTGTTTGGTTTTGTTTTAAGGAATAGAGAGTTTATTAGGCAAGAAAGAAGAAAGGAAGAAGAAAACAGCTCCCCCATACAGAGTCAGAGGGAGGGGGGATTAGAACAAAGAGAAACCCCAAAATAAGGTCTTTAATTAGTGAGTAGTATTGTACCAGTTAATTCCCTGGTTTTGACTATTGCACTCTTGTTATAAAAGATGGTAATATTAGGGGAAGGAAGGTGAGGGATATACGGAAACCCTGTATATTTTCAACTTTTCTGTAAGTCTAAAATAAATTCAAGTTAAAACACTTATTAAAGGTATAAAGAATGATTGAAGAGGTTGGGAATGGGCTATTGCTATGAGCCAGCTAGGCCATGCAGACTGGATGTGCCTTGCTGGAAGAGTGAGGAGGGGTTGGGGGTGGTGAGGGCGTAGACTGATGCATGAGTGTGGGCGTGCCTCCTATCTTGGCCAGCATCTGCAAGGATTCTCTGTCTGTCTTTCTTTCTGCCATGCAGTCTCATTCCTTTGGCTCTTTTAGCAGCACCCCTCTCTTCCACTTTCATACCTCAAAGCACAGCTTTTCTAATTGGCCATATCCCAGGGACAGTTCTGCTTATAGTTAATCTACAGCTTAACCACAATGTTTCCTACTAGGCAGAGCCACAGGAAAAGTCGCTCTTCCTTCACTGAACTTCACTGCACTTGCCCAACTCCAGTCTTTACCCTCAGTGATCCCTCATCCTAGGTTAGGAGGGTGTTGGGTAAAGAAAGTAAGGGTCAATGAGAGCTTTTAAAATTATTCCCCCCTGCTCCTGAGGCAACCAGCAGACCCTTGTTGTTCCTTAAGCAAGGTTACTAGCCCCTCAAAAGGCCTCAATCCCCAAATTCCATATGCTCAGTTACACACAGAGAAGCCTAATTATTTCTACCTCAAGCTCACCAGCCCTGGCTCTTCCCAGAGTAGTTGATCCAGACTAAAGCTTCTGTAGCCTAACCCAGACTGACCCCATCCAAGTCTCCAGCCCAGGAGCTTTATGAAACCAGTGTGCCCAGTGACTTTTCTGGCAGGGGACCTCTGTTACAGGCTGGAAGAACTTCTGCAAGCAGCAGCATCACACCCACCTTAACTGCTCTCTCGTCTGGAATCCTCTCAATTTCAATCATGTTCCGGTCACAGAGCTGCCAGCAGTTTGGTGACAGAATAACATCATTTATCTGAGCCATACTCTGTGCAAGGCGCACATCGTCTACTGGCTGACCAGCCACCAGAAAGTGGTTTCGTGTTTCATCTCCAAAGACCAGTATGCTGATGTGGCCAGCAGCCAATCCTGGCAAGAAGGCAAGGAATAGGTTTGCGGGAGAAGTTCTGGATTATTTCCCAGCAGCACAGGTTCTTGGAAAAAGCATAATCTTGGTGGGACTATACTATCTCAGAGCAAAATCTCACTTCTAAAACTTTACATAGGAATTATGGAATACCTCTTTCGGGCCTGGGCCTTCCAAAACTCCCCTTCTGCCAAAGCTAGAAAGTTCTGCCACTAATTTTTGCTTTTCTGTGACATTTATCTCCCTACATGGTCCTACCAGTCCCCAAAGTTATTTTACCTTTTCTTCCATTATGTATACTTATGGGCAACAGGGAATACCTTTAATAATTCTTATTTTGGGAGAATTTGCATTTTAGCAGATATTGAAGTTGTAACTAAAAATAATCCCTTAGGGTTGAATTTTAGTTGACAGAGTTTGGGTGAAAAGAAGTAGGCATTTGACAGTTACACATCCCATCTCAACGACAGCTTCTCTAATTGTTTTTAAGTTGGCAAATGAAGGTTTTGGTATCTGAATCATAGAAGACCGATGTTGTATAATATGACATGTAAGAAAAATATATGTATAAGTGAATCATAAGTGACACACATTCCTTTTAAATGACTAGTACAATCAAAGTTTATGTTTTCTCTTTGCTCTCTGCTGTGCTGATTTGTCAGGGCTGATTTCCCCCTGATACTACCTACAGTTTATTTTCTATCTGAAACACACTGATGTTTGGACTTACTCTAAAAAAAGGTGCTGAGGGGCCCAGGTGCTGTGGCTCACACCTGTAATCCCAGCACTTTGGGGGGCCAAGGTGGGCAGATCACTAGAGCAGGAGTTTGAGACCAGCCTGGCCAACTTGGTAAAACCCTGTCTCTACTAAAAATATAAAAATTAGCCAGGCGTGGTAGCGGTTGCCTGTAATCCCAGCTACTTGGGATTATCCCGAGTCAGATACAGAAAGAGGCAGGAGAATCATTTGAAACCAGAAGGTGGAGGTTGCAGTGAGCCGAGATCACACCACTGCAATCTGCCTGGGCAACAAGAGCAGAATGAAACTTGTCTCAAAAAAAAAAAAAAAAAAAAAAAAAGTGCTGAGACTCACCTCTCTAACAGCCAATCAGCATGCAAGAGGTGGCTGGGTTTCATCATTCTCAAGAAGGATAACACATCAGACTCCCTGGGGTGCTAACTTAGAAAAAATATTCAGTATTATAATAACTTTGATTTTTTTTTTCAACAAAATATTTAACTTTTTTGGGGAAATTTTTAACAACATCAAAAGGGAACATAGGTTAAAGATGGCTGAGAAACAGCTAATTGTATAACTGGTGATGATCCTGTCAGTTATAACCTGGGAATTCTAAGTTTTGCAAAGTTTAGTTAGGCAGAAGCTAACACCAACAGCACCAACCATAACTCTAGCTGTTACTCATTACTTCACACCTCTCAGAATCTCATTTTTCTTTTTTTTTTTTTTTTTTTTTTTTTTTTTTTTTTTTTTTTGAGACGGAGTTTCACTCTTGTTACCCAGGCTGGAGTGCAATGGCGCGATCTCGGCTCACCGCAACCTCCGCCTCCTGGGTTCAGGCAATTCTCCTGCCTCAGCCTCCTGAGTAGCTGGGATTACAGGCACCTGCCACCATGCCCAGCTGATTTTTTGTATTTTTAGTAGAGACGGGGTTTCACCATGTCGACCAGGATGGTCTCGAACTCTCGACCTCGTGATCCACCCGCCTCGGCCTCCCAAAGTGCTGGGATTACAGGCTTGAGCCACCACGCCCGGCACAGAATCTCATTTTTCATCTGTGAAATGGATACAAGGATGCCTGTATCTCAGGACTGTGATATAGTATGTGTAATGTTTGCACATGCATAGTGTGTAATGTCTGCAATGTAATAAGGAAATATGTGTGATTGTTACTATATTATATGTACAATCTTTTTTTTTTTTTTTGGAGATGGAGTCTCACCCTGTCACCCAGGCTGGAGTGCAATGGTGTGATCTCCGCTCATTGCAACTTCCGCCTCCAGGGTTCAAATGAGTCTCTTGCCTCAGCCACCTGAGAAGCTGGGATTACAGATGCCCCCAACACACCCAGCTAATTTTTTTTGTATTCTTAGCAGAGACGGGGTTTTTACCATATTGGCCAGGCTGGTCTTGAACTCCTAACCTCAGGCGATCCGCTGCCTTGGCCTCCCAAAATGCTGGGATTACAGGCGTGAGCCACTGCATCTGGCCTATGTATAATCGTAAGAAGCCTTATAAAGCTGCAGCTGTGTTGCAGGCTGACCTGTCAAACTTTTCTTGCACATCATCCTTATGAGGTATGGGGTGACCAGTCTCATGTAATTGCTGAAGCTATGTAATGGCAAGCTAGTGTCTATTTTGTTTTATACTTCACAACTTTGACAAGCAGCAAGTTGTAATAATAATAACAGCAGTAGCAGTAATAAAGACTATTTTGTTGAGTGGTTCCTATGCATCAACCATCATACCAACTAATTTATTTTTGTAATAGCTTATTAGGTAGATATTTTAATTAGCCCAAATACTCTCAACGGTAAGTGAGGAAGCCAAGATTCACATTCTGATTGTCCCGATTCCAAAGTTCAGGGCATGATGGGGCTAAGCCACCATGTTCTACTACTTCTCTTTGGAAGAGAGAGATGTCCCAGGAGTCAAGACCCCTATCCCACTGCCATAGGATTTGCTCCTTCTCAAATGCTTACCTATCTTGACTCGGATGTCTAGGCCTTCTTGACACTCCTGGGTCTCAAACAATCCGTGGATCTCCAGGCTACATTTAATTACCACTGTGATAATGTTTTTCAGCTGCTTTCGCTCCACCTTCCACAGGGCTAGGAGTGCATCACCTTTCAGAGAGAGGAGAGACATACCGAAGGCTTTTGACCTGCCTGCCCTAGGGATCAGTCTACTTTGTATGAGATTTGTATAGGAACTTACTCATCAGCTGGGCACGGTGGCTCAAACCTGTAATTCCAGCATTTCGGGAGGCAGTGGTGGGTGGATCACAAGGTCAGGAGTTCAAGACCAGCCTGGCCAAGATGGTGAACTCCTATCTCTACTAAAAACTACAAAAATTAGCCAAGTGCAGTGGCAGGTGCCTGTAATCCAGCTACTCAGGAGGCTGAGGCAGGAGAATCGCTTGAACCTGGGCAGCAGAGGTTGCAGTGAGCCGAGATCCCCACTCCAGTCTGGGTGACAGAGTGAGACTCCGTCTCAAAAAAAAAAAAAAAAAAGAAATTTACTCATCAAGCATTCCTTAGCCCCTGGCCACTCCCTTCTCTGGGATGCCTCCTTTGTCCCAGTGCAGGAGCAGGGGCACCTCAGCACTCCTTTCTTTCCCCTCCCATCTTAGTAAGCCCCCATACCTGCAAATTTCAGGATGTCTCCTCCAAAAATTAACACTTCTGAGAAAAAGAAGAAAAATAAATTAAACAAAGAACAAATTTTTTCTTTTTTTACATAGAAACTAGGTCAAAAGAACAGTGATTCAGAGAATCACCAGTTTATGTCTGTGCTCCACTTCCGTGAATGGGGAAAGACAGGAGAAAGGAAGGTAGGGTTTCTGATGAAGCCTGAAGACAGCTGCCCTCCTTCCACGATGATGGCATGCTTTTAATTAATTTATTGATCAATATATGTTATAGGCTGTGGCTTGCGTAAGCATGGGTGAGTGGATGAATGACAGGACTCCATAAAAACTAGGAGTCAGGAAATAGGGAAATCACAACCGTAGTCACTTGCATTCTCGGTTAATTACCAACTTTGCATTTTCTTTATTTAGACTGTATGAAGTAAATGGCCATTCTCTCTTTTAGTTCTGCATCATCATGGACTGGTTAAGCACCTACTGTGGCAAGTCAGATACAGAAAGGAATCAACCATAGTTTCTGCTTTTATGAAGCATTAAATTTTGTCTAGTGGGTAACATCAAGATATTAGTAAGGACCTCAGAACCTGATGAAACACTAGGCCAGGAGTTTACTGTACCAGAGTAAACCCTTCTCTTCATGAATAGTTTGAATTAACAATGCAAACAAGATGGCAGCAGAGGTTGACAAGGGACTAAAATTTTCAGTTCACTGTGAGTGCTTCAGTGTCCATCATTAGGAGACAAATCATTGAGAAGTTAATTATAAATCGTGTATCTACTCATACAACACTCTCTTAATGACTATGTTTGGGTTATATAGATGTTAGCTTTTAAAAATACCTGGATAGGCCGGGCACAGTGGTTCTTGCCTGTAATCCCAGCACTTTGGGAAGCTAAAGCAGGCAGATAACTTGAGGTCAGGAATTTGAGGCTAGCCTGGCCAACATGGTGAGACCACCCCCCCCCAACCAATCTCTAGTAAAAATACAGCAATTAAGCTGGGCGTGCTGGTGCGTGCCTGTAATCCCATCTACTCAGGAGGCTGAAGCAGGAGGAACTGCTTGAACCTGGGAGGCGGAGGTTGTCGTGAGCTGAGATCGTGCCATTGTACTCCAGCCTGGGCAACAAGAGCAAAACTCTGTCTAAAAAAAAAACAAACAAAAAACTAAAAACAAAAAACCCACAAATTAGTTGCGCGTTGTGGCAGGCACCAGTAATCTTAACTTTGGCAGGAGAATCATTGAACCCAGGAGACAGGGGTTGCAGTGAGCCAAGATTGTGCCACTGCACTCCAGCCTGGGCGACAGAGCAAGACTCTGTCTCAGAAAGAAAAAAGGCTAGGCTCAGCACTTTGGGAGGCCAAGGTGGGTGGATCATTTGAGGGCAGGAGTTCAAGACCAGCTTGGCCAACATGGTGAAATCCCATCTCTACTAAAAATACAAAAATAAGCCGGGTGGAAGTAGCACACGCCTATGATCCCAGCTACTGAGGAGGCTGAGGCAGGAGGATCGCTTGAGCCTGGCAGGCAGAGGTTGTAGTGAGCCGAGATTGAGCCACTTCACTCCAGTTTGGGCGACAGAATGAGACCCTGTCTCAAAAACTAGTAATAATAGTAACAATAAAATATAAATAAAAATACTTGGATATATAATAAAACTAAAAATATTACACTACAGTTATTTTAAAAGCAGTCTATAATTCAGCCCTTTAACACAAAACATCCCTTCCCTCAAAAACTCTGTATTAGTGAAGTCTGACTATATTTATTTCTTCAGTTATACTACGTCATATTTCAAAAAAGACTAGTTTCATACACATTTTATGGGGAAGAGGAGCAGTGCTAAGCAATTGTACTCTATCAGGTTACAATTGACAACTACAGAAAAAAACAATGAATTGAAATATTCTCAAGCCAGAAACCTATGGGAACACTTACTCTCCACGATTGCACTTAAGTGGTAATTGAGGATCTCCACCAACTGCTCAGCCCCTCGGTCCATGTACATGGATGTACTGAACTTCTCAGTCATTGCAGTAAAACCTGGAATAAATGTGCAGCTGGTTTTCTTGGCTGCTTGGGGGAATCAAGCAGAGCCAGAAGAGGGCTACACTGGAAGGCAGTGGGCCTCAGCTTTTAAAAACGGGCAGAATTTCTTCTTAAGGATCTCTGTGGCTGTTCCAAGTGTCAGACATGCAGCTTCCTCTATGTTTATTATTATTATTTTTTTTTTTTTTTTTTTTTTTTTTTTTTTTTTTTTTTTTTCGAGACAGAGTTTCACTCTTGTTACCCAGGCTGGAGTGCAATGGCACGATCTCGGCTCACTGCAACCTCCGACTCCTGGGTTCAGGCAATTCTCCTGCCTCAGCCTCCTGAGTAGCTGGGATTACAGGCACGCGCCACCACGCCCAGCTAGTTTTTTGTATTTTTAGTAGAGACGGGGTTTCACCATGTTGACCAGGATGGTCTCGATCTCTCGACCTCGTGATCCACCCGCCTCGGCCTCCCAAAGTGCTGGGATTACAGGCTTGAGCCACCGCGCCCGGCCTATGTTTATTATTTTAAGGGTCAGGAAAAGGCTCCAGATATTTTTTGCTTCCACATTCTTAATGGTGCAGTGATAACTGCAACTTCTTTAACTAGGAATGGAATTTTCCTTCCGTGGTAACAAAAACACACATATTTTAAACACTTGTGAAGAGGTGGCAAGTTTATTATTAAGATCTAGGGAGATCATCTAGGGAGATCAATTTCAATTCAATTTCCGGAGATCAATTTCAATTTTAATTTCCTGAGGTCAATTTTCACTGGGATGGGTGTGAGCCTTGGGGCTGGGGAGGATGAGTCAGTGAAGTTGGGGCAGAGATACTGGAGCAAGGAATGGGACTTGAGCATCTTAAAGATATGCCCATGATTGGCAGTGCTGGGTAAGAGAGGATGAGAGAGAGCCAAGGCCACAAGTTGTCTTCTCCCTCCCTCTTGTGTTCTCAATGGAGCACATCTGCTGTGACAGCCTAGGGGTTCCATAATGGCCTCACTACTCTACAATCAAGCTCTGCATGTAAACTCCCACAGGAGCCTGTTGCCCATCCACATTAAACAAACATCCCTTTTGCACTTGCCTGAAATATCAACAAACATCAGGACTCCATCAAAAGAATCTATAAAGGGTCGGTCTGGGGAGAAACGTCCGTAGACAATGAGATCTGGTAGATGAGCTGCGATTCTGACTATGGCCCAGTCCTGGAATTCTTCGCTTGGAGTGCTCATGTTCAAGACGAATGTTCAGGATTTTGTGGTGACAGGAAGCAGTCTCCAAACAGGTCTTCTAAAAAGAAAATGAAGATAGAGGAAATCTGACATTCGTTTGTCCATTTTCCTATTGCTCTTTCTCTGTTTGTGTGGTTCTAACCTGTGGCCTGCTGATTTAAGTGACTGAGTGGTGAAAATGCCAGAGTTGTTAAGTCACACTTCAAAAGGGCCAGCGTCTATATGGAGAAAGAGCCCTCCCACCCTGAACAGCTGTTGTGTAAGCGAGCACCGTTACAAAGAGGCTGGGGTGAAAGGGTAGCTGATCGGCTCCACTCATTTGCAGGAAGGGGTAGGCCCTCACAGCGCAAGTCCTGGTGTAGTGGGCTGCGAGCTCTATTCACTCAGGCCAGATTTTTTTTCCTTCTGTCCTCATGTTTCCTTTTCTTCTCTCTCTACCTCGATCTTTTACTTTTTTCTCTTTTTTTTTTTTTTTAAATTAAAAAAGTGTAGATGTGATTTGTGTTTGTGTGTATTTATATGTAGGTGAGTATTAAAGTTTTGTATATAGGCAAGAGATTATGGCAATAAAGGTGTAATGTTAAATAAATAGAGGAAAAGAGTTCAGAAGGGTGTGTGTGTGTGGCAGCTGGAAAGATGGAAAGCCTTAAATAAGTAGAAATGTTGAAATTTCAATTTGCTGCCCAGTTGGTTCTGAGAAAACTAGGATTTCCTAAGGCCTTCCTGGAGCTGCTGGGGCAGATTAAATGCTCATGCCCAAATGTTGTAAAAATCATGCCCTACCAGCCTGAACAGTAAAAGCAAACACCTTCTACTTTTTCAGAGCAATCCAAGTTCCTGGAATGGGTTATACAGAAAATAAGAGTTGTTTTGTTTTGTTTTGTTTTCTTTTCTTTTTTTTTTGAGACGGAGTTTCGCTTTTGTTACCCAGGCTGGAGTGCAATGGCACAATCTCGGCTCACCGCAACCTCCGCCTCCTGGGTTCAGGCAATTCTCCTGCCTCAGCCTCCTGAGTAGCTGGGATTACAGGCACGCGCCACCATGCCCAACTAATTTTTTGTATTTTTAGTAGAGACGGGGTTTCACCATGTTGACCAGGATGGTCTCGATCTCTCAACCTCGTGATCCACCCGCCTCAGCCTCCCAAAGTGCTGGGATTACAGGCTTGAGCCACCGCGCCCGGCCTTGTTTTGTTTTGTTTTTAAGGAACTGTTATTTTTACTTTAATTCTGACCCTCAGAGAGGAACTGGTTAGTAATTTCAAGCAGACATAAGTCTTATTGGGATATATAAGAGTATTAGAGGAAAAAATGAGACAGTCACTTATATCCCTTAGACTTAAGAGAAGAATTAAAAAAAAAAAATCTCAGGGAAAACATTTGTATATTTAACAGACAAACTAAAATGTATATAGTATACATACGTTTAAAAATATATTTAGTATTCTAAAAAATGAGTGCTAAATGTTAGATATTGGATAGCCATTAAAAGGAAAAGTCCTGGCAAACTCAAATGTTAAGAAGTAAACAAAACATAGAAGCATATGACTAAGGTTAAAAAAAGGGTAGCATTAAAAATGCAACAAAAAACCACAGCATGTACCAGAAACAGTCAATAGATAAAATTAAATCAAATAAATAATTTCAGATAGTGAATTTGGTGCTATATGAATTTTTAAGAAGCATGTGAGAGGTTAGGTACAGTGGCTCTGCCTATAATCCCAGTACTTTGGGAGGCCCACACAGGAGTATTGCTTGAATCCAAG